AATGTGGGAAAAAACTTTAATTTCTCGAAACACTTTGAAAGCACACACAATACCATTACTCCTAGATAGGAGAAACGTGTCATCAATAAAAGAGTTATGAAGCATAACCAAGTAAAAAAATCACAGTATCTTTGCAATTGGAACTCATGGGATGGCAAATTGAATAGCATAAGGAAACTTTCCAACCAATTGGTGTTTTGCTAATAGACGTTCTCAAGTAATTGGTCTTTTGCTGAAAGATGTTTTAATGTAATCAACACTTAGGTCTTTGGCCAAAAAAAAAAAAAGAATCGATACTCGTGTTAGAATCAAGGTGTTCATAGTGAAATTAATTTTCAAATGATTTTGCTCGTTTAAGAGCTATGTAACGTTAGAGAAGATAATATTGGGGGAAACGGAAATGGACTTTAAGGCATGTAAATTACTTTTTTAAAAGTGTCATTGCCTTCATTATAGTAAGAGAAAAAGGGGAAAGTATATGCCTCTGTATATATAAGAAAGCTTTTAAGAATATTTTGTTAGTTTCCTTTGTAATTGGACCACATGGCCATGCAAATCCGTGGACAATACACAGAAAGTGTGAGGACAGAATTCAGCATTGGTGGTTCTGTCCAACATGTCATGGTCTGGTCTGGTCCGTGAATGACCAGTCAGACAGAAATAAACAAGATCATGGGGCAACATCTTCCTCATACCTTTGCCATCTGATAAGGACAAATTTTGATTGTTAAGCAATTCTTGACATGAGCCCGCCATAAGATTCCCCTTACAAATGTGTGGAAAGAGACAAATATTTCTTTTTCTAAGCTACGGTTCGTACAAGAAAAAATAGAATTGAAAGGGCCTAAGTAATAATTTCTTCGTCGTCATGTACCATTTTTGCATACTCGTGTGCGCAACATAATAAATTTATTTATTGACTAATCCATGTTTGGAAATATCTAAGCTATTGGGCGGCTTGTAGTTAGGAACTTCCGCCGTTGTTGTAATTGATAAGAAGCCTACTTTATCAGACCATGCGGACTCATGTGAAGCTTCTCTTAGTCAATTTGGCCCTTTTCACAAGAAATAAATTTCACTTATATTGTTTGAGTGCTTGGTGCGATCACTTTCGTTTAATCCAAGAACAAAAAAACAACATTTGAAAAGTTATCAATACAAACCAATCTATCGCCCACTTAAGATTTTGCCCTTTATTTTGGCATTAGCAAATATATTCCAAAGCGTTCTCTTATTGAGTGCACATATAAGGTGAAAAAATGCCACATTTGACATTTGGGATAAAAGGAAGTACTGAATGATTCACAAAATAGAGCAGGTCATGTATCAAGTTGTAGTGGTATTCACAAAATAGAGCAGGTCATGTATCAAGTTGCAGTGGCTGGCCCCAGCTTAATAGACTCCCACGTGAGAGATAAAATATCTAGTGCACATGTGAGGCGGAAAATAAAGAAAATCTCGCACTAGAAATTTGTAGGGAATAGGGTTGGAGTAATTGATAAAACGTCCGTGAATTTTTAAAAAGAGGTGCATGTTTAGGAGGACAAAGAGTCTACCAAAAAGATTGGGTCATGGGCACTAACAAAAATTGAATGGCATCATGACATCCTAAACACTTGGGTGTTATCAACCTCCACTCCTCATAATTATATTTTTAATTTCAGCAAGTGTATCATATTAAGCAGCTAATTCAAGATTTCACTAGCTGCTGTGTCAAGAAAAATGGCCATAGACCTTTTTAATACATAAGATTTAACGGAAGTTAAAGGTTCTAGACAACACACAAGTAGCTTCTCCTTAAACGCTTGGTCCAAGACATGAAGCAAATAGAAACCCAAATCATCTAAATGGACTAGTAAAAATTTCCCAAATAAGCATGATTGCAAGGGTGATTGCAGGTCATTTTGCTTAATTGCCATTTCACGTTCGAACTCCTACGCCAACATAAGATCGTCCAATGCATTCACTTTGTTTTTCAAGAATTCCATGGGCATAACAATATGTAGACTACAAGACGGCTAAAGCCGATCCACCCCGGGAGAAGTGTTGTCCTACTATACCTGAACATCAAAGGAAAGAAAAGAGGAGCATCTATCGTTATATATTCCAACTTCAGAACAGAACCAAAAATTAAGTCCATTCATACCCATAGTAAAGGTATGTAGTATATGAGTTCTTTTCAATCCATAAACAAATGTTGAACAGGCAAAGTGATAAGCTAAATAAATCTTTTTAATCCATGCGGGATTCTACCTATTCAATGTAACTTCTGATCCTTCCGAGTTCCTGAAGCATCCCATCTCTTCTCCTCAAGTACACAACTGTCATTGGATCACTCTGCAAGAATCCATTGATCAAAGTTCATAAACCTTTAAGCAAGATCAAATTTGGGAGAGAAAACAGAGGAAACGCAAACAAGCAAAAATTTCGTGAAATTGATTGCATTTTTTGAAAGTTTTATGACTCAATTGCATTTTCGCGACAAGTTTTAGAACTTATGGTGCACTTATCCCTTCAATCGTTAGATTTGTAACTACAAACACAATACAATTAATTCAAAATCTTAATCATCAAATTCAAAGTATTGCAATATTCCATTTACATTGCACATAGGCATAATCTAATTGTCGATAGATTATTTCCTTTAATATATGACTCCCTTTCCGTATAGTCATATAGATATAGATTATAAAACTCAATGGATCAATCAGGAAAGGGGACTTGGCCTCGGTGGAACGTCGTCAAGTTGGCGAATCGGTTGGGTTGCAGTTGGCCATAAACAATGTCGAATAAATACCAACCAAAGCCTGGATAAAAATCATTATCCTTTGCAACTGTCCTTTACATATAAAATGATGTGTTCTTACAAAATGATTTTTAAATATTTCCCCTGCTTAACCAAATCCCCCTTGCTAGATTTTACATACATCTCATGTACTTTAGCGTAACTCAAAAAACTCTCTACATTCAACTATTAGATGAGTGTTGAAGGGAGAAATACCAAAAAAGTCTTAAATCTATTGTAATTATGTCAATTTAGTTCTAAGCCTTTTTTTGGTCAATTGAGTCATAAACATTTTGCATATATGTTAATTCAATCCATTCGGCCATTTTTGGCAAGAAATCGCTAATGTGGACTTCGGCTGTCCTGTGTGACCCGACCAGCGCTAACGTAGATAATTTGTAATAATATTTTAATATTTTTCTAATTTTTGTATTTTTGTATTTTTTTTCCATTTTTTTCTTTTCTTTCTCTTTCTTTTTTTTTTCTTTTCTTCTTCCTTTAGCCGGCCCCTCGCAAGGCTCGACCTCGCCCGGCCACTGGGAAGGTTTTGCTTCTTTCTAGATAATAAGACAAAACCAAATGAAACTCAAAATTTATGAATGAAATAATTAAGAATATCGGGATATGTCGCTTCCCATGTACTTTTTTTTTTTTTAATCAAGAATAACCACATCAAGACTGATGAGTTCCCTATTTAGTATTTACGTTGTGGTTGATTACAATCTATGGTTTGGGAACGTGTACGTTGGTCTTTGAATTATATTTTTCAATCTTTAACCTTTCCATAGCTTCTTTCTTGGCTAAACGACGTGTGCCAAAGAAATAAGCAGTATAAAATCGATTTGACACTCATCGTTTTAAGTGAAGCATGCTAGAAGAACTAGGAGGTCATGAAAAATGTAGCGACAGTTTGCAAAGTAAGTTTTCTTGAATTGAATGATTTGATTATCGAGAAAATAGTCGAATGTATAAAAAGTAGCGGATGTGGGCGTTTGATCTTATTAACTTTAATGTGATAGGAATTATGTGAAATGTAGGGCTTTGATTTTGCCAACTCTAAAGTAATTGAAATTAAAATAGATGTAGGTTTGGTCATTCATTTGGGGAAAAGTACTAAAAAAAGTTCTAAACCTATTGCATTTATGTTAATTCAGCCATAAACATTTTAATTATATCAATTAAGTCATGAACATTTTGACAATTTGCCAATATAGTCCATCCGGTCAATTTTGGCCGAAAATCGCTAATGTGGATGCCGGCCATCCTACATGCTACGACTAGCGCTAACATAATCAATTTTTACAATTTTTATATCATTTTTTCTGAATTTTTTATATTTTATTTTTTATTTTCTTTCTTTTTTTTATTCTTTCTCCGCCGCACCTCAGAGATGGCCAACAACTAGCCAAAGGCGACAAGGCCCTCGCTGGGATCTAGCGAGGGACAACCTCGCTGCAAGCCTCGAGCAAGGCTCGCCTTCGCCGGGATCTGGCAAGGGGCGACCTCGCCAACCTCGGGCGAGTCTCACTTCGCTAGATTCGGCAAGTTCGAGCCCAGCCCAAAGCTGGTGAGGTGGCGAGGTGTACTCTCGCCGGATTTGGCAAGGGCGAGCCTTGCCCGAGGTCGGCAAGGGCAACCCTCACCAATTGTTGCTTGTGGCCGGTCGGGCCATCACCGAGGCCCAATGACTGGCAAAGGAAGGAGGGAAAGAAAAAAGGAAAATATAATAAAAAATTGTTCACGTTAGAGTTGGCCGTGACACGTAACAGTCTACATCCACATTAGCGATTTCCAGCCAAAATTGACCGAATTGACTCAATTGGCAAAACTACAAAAGATTTAAGACTCAATTGACAAAATTTAAAAAATCAAAACTAAATTGGATAGATTTAAGACTTTTTGGGCAATTTTCCCGATATCTATCTATATTGTTTAACCTTTTCGAGAACCCACCATAATCCTCAATTCAAGATATACTAATAAACAATATGCTAAAGTTTCCGTAAAATTTAGATCATTAGATAGAGCGCATATGCTGACCCCGTGGACGTGCTTCATGGGTCACCCTCACACAAGTAATACCCACTTCTATGTGTACATGGATAGATTGTCAATGATCCAATCTTAACTCTAGGGTAACATTGAATGAATCTATGCATGTGTACAAGTTCCACGTTTGCTTTTTCAAAATTTCCTTCATCACACACGGGTACTTCAGTAACAACTGCGAAACTGAACTATACTCGCATTCACGAAGATGTTAATCATATTCACATACTTGCAGTATGATTAGCAATTTACAGGAACAACACTTACGCAATAAGACCGCTTCTGCCCTTCCCAGTTATTTTTAGCTTTTCAAGAAAGTTGCATTGACAGCAAACGATAGAGCTCTTTACAGAATTTCAACCCTTCAGTAGCAGCTGTGCGCAAATCGAGCATAAACATAATCCTACTTTTGTTCATCTTTAGTGATGTTCAAGATGCTTCGGCACAAATGGAACTTCTCGAAGAACTGCTCAAGGAGGCGTGTGAGTGTGTGGTTTTATGCCTCTAGCCCGCATGTAAGTCAGGAATTGTCCAGGAAGCTCCTCCAAAAGAGCTTGAACGGCCGATATACTCCCACCTGCCAAGAACAGTATAGATTCGTGTAAATTACCATCGACAGAAAAAGGAAAGATTTATCCGCAACTCCTAGACTGTTTCAATGAACTTGTACTTAATTGCAAAACATTTCCAATTCCACCAAAAAAAAACAGCAAAACAAGGAAGCGGCCATGTAGAACTTTCATATCAGATACTGCCTTCTCTGATCCTGGTTTTAATCAGTTGAAACAAAATACTATATATCGATTGGCTTTTAAGATATTATGCCAAAAGATACAATGAAGTCACAATGGGTAAACAAATGAATAAGCCTATGGAAACCAAAAAATCTACAAAGTCAAGAAAGAAACCAAGTCCAACACTCGCATCGTCTAACTATACCATGACATGGCAGGTTTTCAACCTCTTTCAGCTTGATTTACCAAACAGTATTGCCTCTATTCAAATGCTACTCAATTGATCCTTATTACAACCTCCCATTACTGAGGAAAGAAAATTATGGTTTTTGTCAAGTATTAATGGGAACATGAACATCTGTCTCGATTAACGAAAAATAATGGATTCATTAACTTACGATGAACTTCTCGCATTGGAACAAATTGTACAATGTCTCTCGTGGCTACCCGACCAGTAGAACTTTCCAATCTAATTCCGTGGTCAGCATCGAGTCTCTGACAGGAATAAAAAATTAGACTGGTAAGTTCTCAATATCCTCTCTGTAAGAGATATTTCGACACGCTTCTTAAATGCAAATGAGAATAGAAAACACGTAAAAGTCTAACTTAAACCACGGAAACAAACCTACCTCCATTTGTGAAAAATCTGCACCTCCAACTCCAACTATCAGGATTGAGAGTGGAAGATCTGATGCCCTTACTAATGCATCCATCGTTTCTTGTTGATCCGTGAGAACTCCATCCTAAACAAGGAGGAAAACTTCTATCAGCAGTGCAGCAAAACATATAAAAGCTAAGAAAGATCGAATGTTTGTTTCCACTTTACCGTTATTATAAGCAAAACGTAGTATTTGCTATGATTATAGGAAAGTGATTGGCCTGCAATTTGAGCAGCCCTATTGATCACATGACCAAATAAAGTGGGTCCTGCCAGGGAAACATTGTGCAAAGCACCAGCATAAGCAGCCATGATGCCTTCGACTCCTTCAACCTATCGACAAAGAGTTCTGACAGTATTGATATGATGTCCCATAGGTTCATGCACTGCAGTCCCTGCTCCAAATCGATGGGGTGTGCAAACTTAGTTCACCTACCTCATAGCCATCTGGACTTCCATTCAGGTTGAAACAGTGAGATACAGTACCATCATAAGTCCTTCCTCCAAATCCCCACGCAGTAAATCGTCTATCCGAATCATAAAACTGAATTACTTCTCCAACTTCCATTATAGCCTAAAAATTTTGGCAACACAAATTTCAAAATAAATAAGTATGACATCAATTGATTATAAGGAAAGAAAAGGCATGTCAACCGTTAACCTACTATAAAATATAAGTAAGGAAAAAGCACGTCAACTTATTAACCTATTAGAACATTTACCTTTGAAGTATATTTTACGTGATTCCATATTAAAACGTCATCAAAAGGCCAAAGTAAAATCGTCACAAGTGGCCATGTTTAGGAGGCAAATTAAAATATACCTGCTGGTAGGAATTGTATCTTCCTGAAGGATCAATATAATGCAAGGAATCTGGATTTCTGGGATTTCCATTTGAAGCTGAAAAGTCCAGAAGCATCAGAATGAAATGAGATTAAGCATCAAAGAGAAAAAAGTTTTATAGGATAAACAAATATCAAAACGATTTTGTACCTGTAAAGTCGACAGCAACCATAAAAGTAAGCTCAAAACCACTTGATATGTAATCAAGAAAGCTGTACTGTTGCTTCTCACAAAATTGATCCACGAAAAGCTGACTCTTGAGAAACTATACAGAGAAGTTATTAAACTGATCAAAGGGCTCATCAGAATGAAGAGTATTAAACTATTTAAGAATGACAGACACCTTTTCATGGCCGTGATGCGAAGCCGGTGAAGTGAAATTTGCACCATTTCTTTCTTTGTGAAGTTTCTCCAAGTCTGCCATGGACTTCTGAAGTTTACTGTAATAAACAAGAGGCAAATTAACATACAAAAAGCCTAAGTACTACAAATTGCATGAGAATAGGCATTTACCCTATAAGTGCATGGTTCCCACTAGTATCGAAGTCAAAGCACTCAATTACTAATGGATTCTCCTGCAACACGTCTTATAGTATGTCAAATCACTAGTGCCTCCAGTAACATATCAGACAATATGACAACAGGCTCTGTGTAAAACTTGCCTTGCTTCCGAATTGCTGCATGCTTAGACATAAGGGCCTCCAAGTAGGGTTCAAGTTGTTGTTGATAACTTCGGTTTTGCAAATAGGAAGAGACCCCCCAGACTCAACTACTCTGGATATTCTCAGGAAAGGATCCTAAGAAAAGGTAACACCGGAGTATGAGACTAAAGCAATGAAAAGATATGGCAAGAAACAATATCAAACAGGACCGTTCAAGAGAGATTTTGGAGAGCTTACACTTTTAGAAAACATATCTTTGTTTTCCAACTGGGAGCAGCGGAATATTATTTCAACAGCAGTCCTGGAAGCAACAGATTCCTCAGCACGGACAGTCAGTGTACCCAGGTTTCTCAAGCCTACTTGCAAATTTTTATTATGAAGCGACAGGGTCAAACTCCGACTTTGCTTTGTGACTATCTGCAGAAAATAGAAAGGAGAAGATGCTTTGGACAAGATCTAGATGGATTAAACTTGTACTTCACTGAACCAAGTGCATGGAGGATGACACGATTACAATGTGAGCCAGGAGTAAGTACCTCTGACAGCACACAGCTAGCTTCTCCTAAAAACTCTTGGTCCTTCAGCTTTAATGTCTGCACTGAAACCTCCCGATCAAAGATACTATTGAGACCTTTCTCACATGGAAAGACAAAAGGCAAATAGACACCCAAATAATCTGAATGGACTGGTACATATTTCCCAAATAAGCATGATTGCAAGGGTAATTGCAAGTCATGATTACTTAAAAACCCTTTAACATTTGAATTCCTACGCAAACATAAGATCATCCAATGCATTCATTTTGTTTTTCCAGAATTCCATATACGTAACAATCTGTAGACTACAAGACAGCTAAAGCCAATCCACCCAAGGAAAGTGTCATCCTACCACACTTAAACATCAAAGGTAACAAAAGAGATGAGCTTTTATCTTTATAATTCCTACTTTGGGACAAAACCAAAAATTCAGTTGATCCATAACCATAGTAAAAGTAGCTAAAACTTCGCAATCGATCTGAGACCACTCCCTATATAACTCCAAACAGTCTCTCCGTTTTCATATAAATTTGAGTTAGACCTCTAGGAAGATTGACTAAACTGTGACATAGAACATAGATTTGCAGTCAAAGACATTGTTAATGTATAACCAGGAAAGGCCATGCACAGCACATGGCTTCACCCATAAGATTTAGAGGGGAAAAAAATGAAGATAGAAAAAAGAAAAAATGTTAGTGAAAATCCAACAAGAAATATCAAACTACATGAAATGATTACAATAGCTGACACACCTTTACAGGTACGTTGTGATATTTTGTGTCGACATCATATACATGAAACCTGAAAAGAGATAAAATCAAACAAACAAATGCGTTTACATAATATAGTCGAGACAAAACACAGACTAAATAAGTAATACTTTGCTATACATGGAAAACTCACACCAGATGCTGCACAGTCTCAAATTGATAAGCTAAAGAAATCATTTCAATCCATGCAGGATCCAAACTATTTAATATAACTTCCGTCCTCCCAAGTTCCTCAAGCATCCCATCTCTTTTCCTCAAGTACACAACTGCCATTGGATCACTCTGCAAGAATCCATTGATCAAAGTTCATAAACCTTTGAGCAAAACTCGAATTTGGCCATAAAAGAAGAAGGAAACACAAACACGCATGGGCTCCTTAACTATATTAGTTCAGGTTTCGTCTACAGCCAGAAATTTGATCAAGAGTATGTATGCAAGTTTTGACATGAGCTAAAGTTGCTATGGCAGAAATTTTGGCAGATGAGATTTGCCGCATGAAGCACACAAGTTATATAGAAAATAGCATGGCATACGCATGCAAAGACTGTCCTAGAAGTGTTTTCTGCAGCACAAATGAGTCTTCCAGTCAGAAGGTAAATTTCAGTAACACACCAGTACTTAAGACACAAAAAACAGGCACGGCCAGAAATGCATACATCATACGCTGTGATGTCCTAAATTTTGCAAGCATAAGAAGACAGAAAATCAAGTTTTAAGTTAAGTAGTAGAAATTTTACTTCAAAAGAAGAACAAGAAGAAGCTATACCCTTCTGTGACAACCAAATCAAAAAGAACCAAGAAGATCCCAGGTGAATGTGAAAGCAAGATGCAGACAAAATAGCAAAACTACATACTAGTAGCAAGATGTACAACAAGAAGTCCGCTGAAAATGCTAATTAAGTTTCTCACCTTTGACATGACGTCACGATCACGTAATTTTGAAGCAGACAAGGACAACTGCAGCATAGACAATAAAGCACATCATACAAACTATAGGCATTAGATTTCAAGATCGATGCATACGAGAGCACCATATGCAATGCACGATGTTTGTTGTTGGAAAGTATGATATGCTTAATTTATACTAGCTCCTTCCCAGATATCCTATTCGTATCTATGCTTAATCAGCAACAAGTTTAGAATTTGTAAGGCGACACATAATTCAGATAGTAACTCTGTTTCTGAAAAATGAACAGTGTACTGTGTGCAAGTGCAAAGCTTAGACTCTGTCTAAACTAGCAGCTCTTTTGAAAAAACTGATTCAAAGCATTCCCACTAAATTTGTTGTGGCATGTAATTCTTGTCATTTGTATGAGTTCTAAAAGGTCACACAGCTCAAGAGGCAGATTAAAATTTTGGTTCGAAGAAAAGAAAAGAGATCTCCTCAAGTCAAGTTTAATGAGGAAAACAAGAAGAAAACTCCAATTAGACAACCATGTTGGAACCATACAACCAGAAGTTCTTCGGATAATTTAACATCAATTTGTTCAGCAGCGAGGTTTTGAGCAGAATCAACAATTGTGCAGAATGCTTCTCAGTTTTTCTGCAAACAATCCTCGGATAGACAGCGAGGTTTTTCTGGCCAAATCATCGTTTCCCTCCAGAAAACAAGAATAAAATACAGACAAGTGACAACATTGACTCGGGTCTGAAGAAAACGAAGCGTACCACCGCAGCATATTACGACAGTGAACAGGCGAGGGACACAAACCTCAATTTGAGAGAAGAGAGCGGGTTGACCGCGAGCTCGGAAGAAGTGGTCGACGGCGTCGTTGTGCCCGCCATTGTTGCCTCCTCCTCCTCCTCCTCCTCCTCCAACTCCAACTCCAACTCCTCCCATGGGCCTCTGCTGGGTCCCTCCGACCGCTTCTTGACCTCCTCTCACATCCGAAAAGCAACCCCCCATTCTCTCACACTCACTCTCGACCACCTCCAATTCCAACTCCTTCGCCGATCCGATACACACCCACGATCCCTCTCCAAAGCCCCTCGTCCGCCACCCCTCGTCTCCCTCTGAAACTGCCCAATCTCACTGGAACTGCTTCTGGCGAAAACTGTCGCACCCACCCTCTCTCTCTCTCTCTCCGCCTTTATATAGTGGACAGAAACGCGGAAGCGCGTGGGGTCCGTCGTGACGTCCCGATCACGACACCGGCGGGCCTTATCCGGCCTTTCGAGACGGACCCACGTCGAAAGATCCCGCGAACAGCGAAGGGACGTGAAGATGGTACCGGGCAACCGGGTCAAGCTCGAAGCTTTTGCTTGTGTTCTGGGATTCTCGGTGGAGTTCGGTTGCTATACATAGAGAGAGACGAGAGTCCGTATACGATGATGATGACCAGTAGACGAGTGAACGAGAGGGAAGATTGAGGGCTTGACGTTGACCCGGAAGTTGACTGAAGCCGTCGTGCTGCTGCGTTCGAAACTGCGTGGTAATCTCTGGGCAAAAGCTTGGGATGACCTCTGCTGCAGCTTCACGCACGGGTCTTGATGGATAAGGTCAATGTCGGACTTTGACTCTCGGTCGCTGTGAAGAAGGAAGAGTTCAGCAAAAATCGTTCAAAAAAAAAGAAAGAACGAGATACGAGTGAAATTTAAATTCTTTAAAGATTGGCTGTTGATAAACTAACGGAATTTTTCGATTGAAAGTTTTACTCGTCGCATTCTCGAATTATGGCAATTATATTTTTGCATGAAGTATGGGCCCGATTGAAATATAGATAGATTATTCGCTCACAAAGTAGAACCTCCCTTTCCTTAGATAATATAGATATAGATTACAACACTCGATATTCGATGGATAAATTATCTCTTTTTGAATTTACTGGCCCCTCAATTCCCTTCCCCCGTTCCGGCACAGACAAATAATGAGAAGGGTGTTTAACCTGAAAGACCCGATAAGCACCGGCAAATTGATCTGGACGCAATGGTTTTGATCGAACATTCCATGGTCGGATCGGGATTTGACCTAGATATCATTCCGGTCCCATTTTGCTTGTTGCGAAAACCGCGGTCTGATTGCCCAGGGATTTTTGTTAAAAGTATGAACATTAATAGTTGACTGATCACTTTGCCAATGACTTTGTCGCCAAACTCCTTACAAGAGTACAACCTAACAGAAAATAATGTGTACCCAGGCCACACTGGCAACTTGCAGGAGAGAACGATGACCACACCATCCAGGACATTCTTCCTTAGCACAACCATGCAAACAAGCGTGCCAATGGCTACGGGAGAGACGCGGCAGGAGGGTTCAATGTAGTCTCTTCAATGGCGAAAGCAATAAGCATTCAAAACAAACTACGCAGAATGGTTTCGCCGCCACATGATTTTGAGGCCCGACCTTCACCGAGTTTCTCCAAAGCACACTTGGATCTAACTCATAAGTCGGGTAGTACAGTGCACGTATCCAGAAGGGGAAAGAGACAGATTGTAAGTACAGGAGTGAGAACTGACCTGATAAAAGAACCAGATGGCTGATAAGAAAAGAAGTTCCGTTGTATTGGCAAAAGGATGTGTGCGAAATAGGCCGATGACAACTTTGTGGTACAGAGCTGCTCCTGCGTCTACATGCAAAAACCAACGGACGTTTCTAGTGTTCCGTGGGGATAAGAACGAAACCTAGTTTCGTGTTGGTATATCACCGACATACCATTCAAATAAGGTTGGTAATTTCAAAGAATTAGTAATGACATTGGTAAGGAACATAAAAAAACATTGATAATCTTGAAAGTACAAAGAATTAAAACTTACAAGATAGGTCGGTAACCAAAATCAGTTTGTATCTTAATTTGACGAATGTTGGTACATCAATCAAATTCAGTTAGTGATTCTAACTCAAAACAAAATGGTTTTTATGAAAGAGAAAAGAAAACACAAAGTGACAAAATTATGAAGCAAAAGCAAACGTTACAGTTTCCTTCTTATTTCTTCCTTTCAATTTTTTCAGAGAGATAACAAACACAAAAACAAAATCACAGTGAAAAAAGAGGAAAGATTGAAGGGGAAAAGAATATGAATTGGGACGGTATAACTACAACAGAAAGTATTGGTCAGACAGTTTAAGAAGATTCAGAGGAGCTCCCGTCGATGCACTTCGGATTTGAATCTACAAACTCGCATTGGGTAAGTCAAAGCCAAAACATCCATAACGTTTCAAAAGCTGGAGTCGAAATAGACACTGTCTAACATTGGAGGAACATATATGAAGCTATGATAGCCATCACAATGCTCATTCAAGAATCCAGAAGGTACATGTTTCTACAAAGCCAAAACGAATTCTGATTCTTCTACTGATAAACAAATAGTCACAGTTATCTATACGTAACCAGCAAATGAACCAACACAACATCCTGCGTATTCTCAAAACAATGTCAAAGATGTCAGTATGTTCCCATTAGGAGTTGTGCCCATAAACAAGATCATGCTCAAGGAGGGAAAATCAGTCAAGATAAACTTTAACATCGATGCCACTGTCAATCAGAGACTGAACTACTGCTCTGATTTTTCCTTCAAACTTGTCTCTCTCTCTTGGAGTATAGGAAGCAGTGTACACATCAGCTTCCCTCGCCCGGTCCGCCAAAATCTGGCCTACAGCCAAACATGCAGGTATGTCCGATCGAGACTTGAGTACAGCTTTGATGTCCTTAGAATTGGTACCCGCAACAGCGACCTGCTTGCACGTGACCCTGTGAGTCAGTGAAGCTGAGACGAAGCGCTTGGAGATGAAAACATCTAGCGTGAATGGCTCCATGTAGGCTATGGTGCGCTGTTTGAAGGACACATGCTTATTCGGATTCTTGGACTTCTTCCCCTTTTGGTAAGTGTATGGCCGGCTATTGTTATCATCCAAATAGTCTTCAACCCCAAAGAAACTTCTTGGTGCTAAATGAGGCTGCTCGGACAAATGAAACTAGTGTCAAGCTTACCAACCGGCACAATCTTAGGACATGGAAGACCTGGGAGAGTACTCTAAAAATCAAAAAGCAAAAAACTTAAGTCTTGCCCACTAAACGTGGTCACCTAAAAGCCAACATGCATACAATATCCCTACACAGTTCGATTAAGGATAGAGCAACCCCACATTCAATTGATTATTTGCTCAACCATTATGCTGCACGAGTAACATTATCGAGGAAATGACATAGAGAGGACATCCCAAACTAGTAAAAGAATCAGATATTCAATGAAGTCACCTGCCCACTGTGGATACCGCATGTCGGCACAAAGACACCGTGTCGAGAGGCATCAACACCACGCACTAGAACGCCATTAGTGCACAGGTTGCGAAACGCTTGCCTCAACATCTTGCTACACAGGAGACACCTTTCTAGCAAATAAAAGCAGCCACTCAGATTACAGCGAGCGTGACACCTGAAAGAAACGAACCATTGTCAGCAAGACACGGCTAAAGCCCGGGACTCCTCAAGACCAACCAGAAAAGCGGGCAAGCACACGAACCCACAGAACAAAAACCCCCACAATCTTGGAAGCTGCATTGACAGAAGTTAAGTTAAGCAATTCATCAAACAGCTAGAACGCACTGGTGGGTAAGTGCCCAAAAGACCCCGAAACTCGAACCATGCCACGATTCCATCAAAACCCAGTAAGAATTCTTTACGAAAGACCGATTTCATACCAGCCAATGCAGCACAAAGAAGGCAAGTTCCTTCCTTTTGACATGGGGTTCGGGCAAACATGATTAGGCACACATCCGAGCAACCACACAGAGAGACAGAGACAGAGCAATGAAGATCAGCAGCCAAACTACATACGCAGGAGCAGGCGAGAGAGATGGAGTGGGATGGAACGGGAGTTCAATCAACAGGTACAACGCGACCACCGGAGGAAGGGAAGAGCAAGCGCGAGGGAGGGACTACGTCATTTTTCCCGAGCCTCGGGTGGAATAGAACTGCATAGCTTCTTCCAATGAGGAACCATAAACATTTATATAGTAAAAGCTTTGGAAAAAAACATGGTTGAAAAGTTTTTAATTTTGTGAATTCTTATCTTTTTTCAGGTAAAAAAAAAAAGAGGATTACTTGAAAATCCACACATTTGCAGTTTTAAAAATAAGTGATTTCGTGATTAAATATAAGGAATTGGTGTAGAACCGTATCTGTTTATCGGCTCATTATTGGGTTCGAGGTTGAAAAGATGTCAAACCGAAATCGAATTCTATTTAGGCTCTGTTTTTTTTAGGAAGATAAATTATTTATAAAATATTTCCTTAAAAATGATCACTTGTAATAATTAGTCAATGAATAATGTTCTTATTATCAATAAGAATTTATGTCGAAGAATCAAAAACTTTTTTTTTGGTCGGAAAGAATCAAAAACTTAACGTCACATTTTCTAATGATTTTGTTTCTTCGATAAAAATGTCGGAAAAATCCTAAACCTATTGCACCAATTTAATTCTAAACTTTTTAAATTATGTCAATTTAGTCATAAACATTTTGACTTAATATTAATTCAATCCTTCCAGTTAATTTTGGCTGGATATTACTGACTTGGACGTCGGCAACGTACGTGGTATAGTCGGCACTAGTATTGAATTTTTAAATAATAATTTTAATAAATTTCAAATTTTTTTCTTATTCTCTGTTATTTTTTCTCTCCTTTTTTTTTCCTCTCCTTTCCAATGGCCAGCTAGGGCTAGCCTTGCATGAGTGAGGGAGGCCGTCGCCATCACAGGCGAGGGTCGGCCTCACCGGGGCAAGGGCGAGCACCAGCAAGGCCACCCTTGCTGGGGCAAAGTACCAAGAACTATGAAACCATGGCATAATCAAAGTTTCCCTCGAGCACTTCCAAATCGGAAACACAACCGTCAAAGCTTCTCCATCTGCAGCTCCTCATTGTCTCCGCAAGCAATTTCTCAAAGAATCATTCGGTGACATTGAAGAAAATGGCCAAGGAATTCCATGACAAGCTCAAATCAAGAAATGGGAAGTACTCGAGCCCTCGGACTTCGGTTCAAATTGCACTGAAACTTCACCTTCTCCTTCGTCTCTAGAGAGTTGACAGAAAAGCCGCAAAAGCGTATGACATTGCCCTAACACGGACTTGGGCGGCCTCACCGGGCATCGCCTAGGCTAGGGCTAGTGCGAGCACCGGCGAGGCTAGGGGTGAACGGTTACAGATTCTTTACAAAGCCACAAAAGCGTATGACATTGCCCTAACGCGGACTTGGGTGACCTCACCGGGCATTGCCTAGGCTAGGGCGAGTGCGAGCACCGGCGAGGCTAGCGGTGAGCGATTCTAAATTCTTTACAGATTCCACCTAGAACCTACCCTTGAGTACAGGTTCCTCATTTTTTGGAACCTGAAACCTATCCATCAAAACCTGAAACTTACCTTGTCACAGGTTCCAGAGTAGGTTTCAGAGTCTAACAGATTCTTTTTTTATTTCATTTTTAGATAAATAAAACGAAAATGAAAGCAACAATACTAAATAAGCTTATCATTCACCAAGGAGAATACAAACGACTAGTTTTCATTGCATTACGGTTCAAATAAAGACAATTAAAATGAGAAGTCATTATATAAATCGATATTAGGGGTGAGTAGTTCCATGTTTCATATAAGTTGCACCTGGAACCTACACATGATATTAGGTTTCTCAATTTTTGGAACCCTGAACATATCCTATCACAGGTTCCAGCTTGATTCTAGAGTTTACTCAGGTTCCACATGTATTATTAATTGAATAATTACAGTGAATCATCATCTTTAATGACCACCACTTGCTGCTATGATCCACTGATCACAGCTTATATGAAACATTAACAAGTCATAAAATGAAAGTTCAAACTAGTGGTTCTAGATTATATACTCATCATTTAACGCCATGAAACACCACAGGATCACACGAAAACTTAGACCAAGAAAAAACACAAAAACACTTATTTAAGTTTCACCTTCCAGGTTCCACTTACCTAGAATCTAGAACCTACCCGTCTAAACAGGTTCCCCAATTTTTTGAACCTTAAACCTACTTTGCATACTTTGGAACCTGAAACCTATAGGTTCTTAAAGGTCAGATTCTCAAGTTCTAAGTTATATCTTGAAACCATGCTCACTCCTAGGCGAGGCTGCCCTCACCCAAGTGATGCCTAGCCTTGCAAGATTTGGTGAGGGTGAGCACCTGTAGAGGGCGGCCTCACCGATGCTCGCCCTCACCCCAGCAAGGCCGACCCTCGCCAAACATCGGAACGAGGATGAAAGAAAAAGAGAAAAAAACAAAGAAAAAAATCGAAAATTATTAAAATATTATTGAAAAATATCCACATCAACAATATCCGACTAAAGTTAACCGGAATGATTGAATTGACACTAAATCAAAATGTTTAAAACTAAATTGACACAAATGCAATAAGTTTAGGTAGAGGTGTGCAAAGGAACGGGAAACTGCTCAAACGGCCTAGAACCAGACCGAATCGGCCTGAAACCGGCGATTCTTGTGAGGACCGGTCTGGTTCCCGATTCTAATTTACTAGAACCGGTGAGTACCAGTCCGGTTCCCAATTCTAATAATGGAACCACCCGCCCGCCCGCCCGGACCGGATCGGACCGATAATATATATATATATATATATATATATATATATATATATAATTTTTAGGGAAAATTCCAATTAAGGACCCCAAGTGGGGTCAAATTCTCAAAAAGGGGTCCAAAGTGAACATTGTGTCAAATAAGGGCCTGAAGTGCTCAATCGGTCTCAAATAAGGACCGAAGTGCCCAAATGTCTCAAATAAGGACCTGGGTCCCGTGACCAAAATACTGCTGGCGTGAGAAAGATCTTGTTAAGCACGGAACAGTATTTAATTTTTATTATTTTCTTTCTTTTTTCCTTTTCGTTTTTGTTCTTTTCCTTTTCCTTTTCTTTTTTTTTTATTTTCTTCCTCCGTGGCCATAGCCGGGCGGCGTGAGGTCGCCGGCCTCGAGGCGAGGCCGCCTCGCGGCGTCGGGCGAGGCCGCCTCGCTGGGCCGGGCGACGCGCCTCGCTCGGGCGGGCGAGGCCGCTCGCCGGCGTCGGGCGAGGCCGGCCTCGCCCGACAACGGCGAGGCTCGACCTCGCCTCGAACCTGGGGCGGCCGGCCTCGCCGACCCGGCGAGGCTCGACCTCGCCTGCAACCGGGCGAGGCCGGCCTCGCCCGACTCCCGGCGAGGCTCGACCTCGCCCGCAACTGGCGAGGCCCGGCGAGGTCGAGCCTCGCCCGGCGGCCGGCGAGGCCGAGCCTCGCCGGATCCGGGCGAGGCTCGACCTCGCCGCAACTAGCGAGGCCGGCCTCGCCCGGCCCGAGCGAGGCGACGTCGCCCGGCCCAGCGAGGCGACGTCGCCCGGCCCAGCGCGAGGGCGACGTCGCCCGGCCCCAGCGAGGGCGGCCCTCGCCCGACGCGGCGAGGGCGGCCTCGCCCGAGGCCGGCGACCTCCGCCGGCCGGCTATGGCCGGCGGAGGAAGAAAAAAAAAAAAAAAAAGAAAAGGAAAAGGAAAAGAACAAAAACAGAAAAGGAAAAAAGAAAGAAAATAATAAAAAAATTAAAGTTCTTGTTCGTCTTGGAACAAGTAATTTCTCGCCGGCGGCAGTATTTTGGCACGGACCAGTGTCCTTATTTGAGATATTTTTGGCACTTCAGGTCCTTATTTGAGACTGATTGAGCACTTCAGGCCCTTATTTGACACAATGTTCACTTTGGACCCCTTTTTGAGAATTTGACCCCACTTGGGGTCCTTAATTGGAATTTTCCCTAATTTTTAAGAAAAAGTTCAACAAAAAAAAATAGAAAACATTTTTAGAAAAGTGAAAACCATAAAATCCATAATTTGAAACTCAATTCTCAACTTCCATCAATTCACGGTCGCGCCTCTAACGGTTCATCGCCTCTTCTCTCACTCTTGGTTATCTCCATTTGCGTAAAACTTGATCCTGGATAGATCCATGGAACCAACGGGCGATTTCCAATTCTAATTTCTCATAACCGATCCTTAGTGAGCAGTTCCCGGTCTCATGTTGAGAACCGCCTATCTGGATCATGCTCATCCTTAGGTTTAGGATTTTTCTGACACTTTTCTCATTTCTTCCATTCTTGCATTGAGAACCGTTATAAGCACAAAAACCTCCAACCTCAAGCAACACAATGCATGTAGACATACATTTCAAAAGAAAATATCCAATTATTCTTAAACCAACTGTATAAATGCCAATTTAGTCCTAAATTTTTCAATTTAGCTAATTTTGTCGTAAAACTCTTGTGAAATTCCAATGTAATCTTTCGAGTCAATTCTTCGCTAGAATTGATAATGTGTCAGTCCACTATCGCCGGTCATCTTACGCAACACACCACCACATCGACGAATTTTGGCAAAAAAAATGAAAATGAAAATTTCGTGCAAAAGTATAAGACTAAACTAATAAAATTAAAAAAATTTAAGACCAAATTGACATACGTAGAATAAGTTTAGGACCGATTGGACAATCTCTCAAATAAATCCACTTTTTTCTATGGACACTGTCCACCGGGCGAAAATCCTCTCTTTATATTCTCTGTGGAGATATCACTTGGAGTGCATAAATGACAATCGACCCCTTCAGGCCGGATAGCAACCAAAAGCCCATAGAGAAAACTAAGAACGATGGGGTTTCACCGACACATCATGCACTAAGAAACCATCGGAAGCTCGAAATAGGAAAGTGCTCCAATCCCAACCAAAAGGTGCTTTTTCACAGTAGTAATCAGCACACATTCTGTCGAACACCAAATTAAAGGTGCTAAATCTTACTCTGGATCCACGGCGGCTAGACATCAACCGCGAACAGTCGGTCCTGAGTTGTTGGCTACGGGACCCGGGTCGTCTGCATCTGATGATGGTTGGTCCCTTCTCGTCTCTATATGTCAAACAACTATGATAAATCTTGTGAAGCTTTTTGCCAATCAAAAGCTCCCGATGATAAATTAAATATAAACGGGACTATAGTCATATGTACACCTAATCATCCGAAATTAGGAGCTGAAACTTCAGACCGTCAAGAAAATAATGATTCAAAAAGCCACATTCAGCATAAAAGATTTAGCAAAGTCGGAACAGATAAGCTCATCTATTTTTCCACAATGGAACATCCAAAAGCGATGGCTTCTAACCGAGGGTGGACATAGAATGATAAAAACTATTGAGTCACATTAGCATAAACTTCTTTGGCGAGAAGATAATAACATCAACATTTACCAACAGTTGGGACCTAACAGTACATCTACCAATACCCCAAAAGTCTATGTAGTCAATCTCTATCTCCCTTTCACCCCGAAACATTGTCTTCTGCTTCAAAACTCAGTACTCGCCCTCTCTTGAGCAAAATATAGTTGCCTATTCAAGGGGCATCAGTCAAGCATCTGAAAGACTAGACAAAAAAAAAGTGAGGAAAAACTCTCTTCATTACCACCAATTCAGAATAAACCAAAACCCAACAAACCTTTTCCTTGTTATTTTGGTGATAATTTCTGAAGCATGAATGATGCCTGATGACCAACTACAGCTGCACAGCCGAAGTCTGATCTAACAGAAGATTAACAGGTTCATTCCCAGTCAAGTTGCTGAACATTACTTACAACTTCCAAGTTAAGTGGCCATTAGTATAAACTGTTTCTACATCCCTTCTTTGGCAGTAGATCCACTAGCATTATTGGACTACCGCTGTTTGCTCAAAGCCCTCGGCGACCTCCTTACAGGTAAAGTCTCTACCATAGAATTTTTAGGCATACGCTTCCTTACATCAGCATCAGCACTTTTGTTCTCCACAGTATCTCTGAGCTCATCAATATCTAAAGCTGCAGGATCGAGTTCAAAAGATCCGGCAGGAACACCTCGTCTTTCATTCCCAGTCATCGTGAATGATGGAACTTGATGAGAAAATCGGTACAAATCACGTGGAGCTATTTCAAATGAGGCATCTGCATCTTTATGTGCATCTACACGCTGAAACAAGCAAACAAAGCCTTTCACCTTGCTCAAATACACAACCTTAATGCCACAGTCCTCGACAAAATCTGAGAGGATCTCCACATATTCATACTTGCAAGGAAGATGTTTCTCTGGTTCGGAGCTCCATTTTATATCCCAGTTCTTAAAAAGGGCCCAGATCTCCCCTTTTCTGGGATATACCATGAAAGAGCCTCTACGAGCACCCTTAAGGCACTCTATCTGGTGAGAGAACATGAGATCATCTTCCAAGTCTTCCGTGTGCCCAGTTCTGTACTTGCCACAAGCAACAGGCAACTCATTCTCACACCAATCAATCTCATCTTCGTCATCTGGATCAGCCTCTAGCCAAGTGATTTGCACCTTGAAACCGGGAGAAAACACTTTCTTTATCCGAGCATAAAATCTCGGCATGCCATCTAGTGTATCATACAATGCCCATAATTGATTAACAGCAAAACAGGTTTGCGCTTTATCCTTCTCGAAATCACTAAACTCTGGATCAGGGCAGATGACTATGTGAGGTTCCTGCCCATCGAAACCAGAACTACTGTTAGATTTAGATTTTTCATTATGCTCATCTGCAGAAACTGCTTCCCCGCTCTTCTCTTCAGGCTTCATTTTCCCAGAATCCTTCCCAGATAAGCTTTCTTTCTGAGGAAGATCTTTTACATTCTTAATGTCTTTATTAACGCCATTTTCAGGATTAGAAAAAGTTGAATGATCACTACTGGAGCCTTCAACAGACCCTTCATTTTTCTTAGCTTCCGCAGAATCCGACGACCCATTGGCTCTTGACCTTTTTGACGGGTTAACAAAGTCGTCGTCACCAATTGAATTGTCATTGTACGACACACGTTGCTTTAGGCGAGAAGACTTCCTGGAGGGAGGTTGCTTTTGCTGAGATCTCATAGCTCCATTGAGCTCAGAATTTGACTGGGAAGGATTAATTCCATCTTCTGAAGTGCCAGCATGTCCAACAGTGTCATTCCTACTCACATTCTCAGGAGTCCCAACAAATTCAACACCAGAAATCCCACTTCTCATCCTGCCAATGGTACTCTGAGAACCCACTCCTGTTGGTCTTGCTGCATTACCGTATGGAATTCTATCTTCTTTCATTCCAGCTCCCTTGTCAGCAGACTCATTGCCCACCTTAGCTCTTGAACTGCCAGCAACCTCATCGTGCCCCTTTTGTTTAGTTACCGGAACGAATCCTGAAAACCTGTCCTCAAACTGCATAGGAGGAGGAACTCCGTTATTAGCCAGAGGAGTTGTATTTGAGAACCCAAAATTTGAAAAATCTGGCTGGTTGGCAAAATTACTCCACTGTGGTCCAGGTGCCATGCCTTGAGTACTGAAGTCATAGGCAATAAAGGGTTTCTTGCAAGTCTGACAACGCAAAGCTTTATTCACAAATTGCTTATAGTATTGATACCTTATATTACAGAAGGGGCAGCTGGTCCAGAAAGTCTGCTGCTGCCCCTGCTGTTCAGCGTTTGAACTTGGAAATCGTGAATTCGGATGGCTCTCTGATTTGTTTTGAGTTCCGTTTTTTCTCCTGACACCAGTATACCGAGTTGGTTGATGAGCTGGAGGCTTCTGTGGCTGCACTGGATTCCTAAACTTACTGTCGTATAATTTTCGCTGCAACTGGTCTGTTAACACCCTATTCGCTTCAACAATCATCTTGAAAGCGGCCTCAGCACCAGTAAATTTATTTTTATCAGGATGAAGTAACAAAGCAAATTTTCTGTACTGCTTCTTGATAGTTATATCATCAGCAGACTTTTCAATCTGTAGGATTGCATACCAATCATGCTCAGATCCACAAACTTTAGCCTGAGCAGAACAGTGAATCTCACAAACAGCCAGCATTTGGGATAGGTTCTCAAGCTCGGGGAAAAGACGCTGGGCCTTCTGGACAAGGCGCAAGCCCCCTGCAAAGTCATTGTTTTGCATCCGCACTTCTGCAATTTCCTTTGCCCTGACAGCCTCCTCTTTGTTGCACTCCATTAGTTTGTTGCCAATGTATAAAGTCAGGCAGTAAATATCAATCAAAAATCCATCAACAGGTACCAATTTCACCTGCAGAATGAAAAACAAAACAATTGAATCCACCTACCTAGTCGTAAAGATTCGCATCAGACATCTCTGATGTGAACAAGGACAAAACTTTCAGCAAGCTAAACAACACGAGATAAAAAGTGCATTACCTTTGTAACTCAGAAAGGCAAAAAAGCATGCCAGAAGCAAAGACTGATGACAAACAAATGATACTAAGGGCCTAAGGCATTGGACCCTCCATGGATCCAGTCAGCCACATTCTCACGAACAATCCCCAAACTGATTCAAGCGAAGGACCTGAAAAATAACCGCCGTCGGATAAATCGGATCCAGAACACAGACGCAAAGGTAAAAACATGCGAAGAATCTAGATTGGAGATGCTGCATACACTCCAGCAGCGCGCATGAACACACAATCTTCTCGCCAAGAAAATGTCCCCGCGCGGATCTGAGCGATTTCGACCCTGACTGTAAAAGGCCCCCCCTTCCCGAACTCTGAGCAAGCAAAACCATAATACGCGTAAATGGTCTTCCGGGATTGCATGACAGGTGAAGAAAACAAGCACGAATTGCCAAACAGGACATAAACAGGAAATCTCCCACTCCAGTCAAAAACTTTTCGCAAGCCCATATACCTCCACAGACCTCACTCTATCAGAAACAACCTCCAAATCCAAACAACTTTCAAATTCAAATGCCACATCGAGCGAAAGCCCGGAGCCACAGAGCAAGCTCGCGGCGGACCACCGCAACGCCCCGAACGCGAACAAAACAAGCCCATGCAAAGCCAATGTCCCTCTCCACAGTCGCGAGCAGAACAGACACAGACACAGACACACGCACGCACGCACACGCAAACACGGAAGTCGACGAAACCGCAAGCAACACCATCTCGCATTCGGCACCCGAGAACGGACCTGCCCTCGGCCATCGGAACAGCGAAACATTTTCAAATCATGCAGGAGATTCGAGGTGATGGCGAGCCGGAAACCCTAAGAACCCGAAACAAGCAGAAATCGCAGGTCGGAGGATGGGAGGGAGGGAGAGAGAGAGAGAGAGAGGACTTACCAGATTTAGGGAGAATCCAAATCAGAGAGAGAGAGAGAGAGAGAGAGAGAGAAGGAGAGCTTCTGTGTGTATTTCAGAGAGGGAGGGAGGGAGGGAGGGAGGGAAGAAGGGGAAATTTGGGTGGGAAAAATGAAAAGGACAGAGGGGGTCCCTGAGTTTGTGTGAAATTTTCTGGTTGCCTCCCCAATCTTTTGCTGCTCTTCTTCTTCCTCCCACTGCTCTCCCCTCTCTCTCTCTCTCTCTCTATGGTACCTTGGTGATGGAAATGATCTAGGGTTTTCCCAACTTTTTGTGTGAGTTGGAAGGACCTAGAAGAAATTAAAAAAGTTTGGGAGGCTGATCATTGAGCGGGTTCGGGCCGGGCCGGATCGATATGAAGAGCTAGTCACAAGCCCATTCCTAGAGATCGGACCGGGCCAATGGATGGTTGTCCCGGTCCATTTGCAAGATTGAGAAGTTACTAGACGTTCGAAATGAGTTGATGTGTGTAGTTGGGGGCTTAGAACCAGTCTAGTCGAGTCAAGTCGAGCTCAGGAAGTCGATTTATGTTTTTTTTTTGTCCGGCGGGGAACATTTATGTAATAGCCTCAATTTGTTAAGAAAGGGTACCTCTAAGCACATCGAAAAGGTATACAAGTTGTCCAGTCTAATTTCGGAATTTATTGAGCATGGAGAATTGGAAGTGTACAAAAGAGTCATCACTACTTTGTTTCGACATTTACATCTATCGATATCAAATTTCACTTAAGTTGCAAGAACGAAGTTAATGGAATGAGAATTTGAGGCCCTATTGCCTTTCTCCATTCTCATTTGGATAGCTGGAATGAAGTGCAATGAAATCAAAAGTGAGAACTCTATTAGGATAGTAACTTTCACCCACTCAAGTGCATATCTGCACTTCCTTATGCTTAGGCTTAATTTGGTAGTCAGAATAAAATTCAACATATTCTAATTTATTTTATATTGTGTTTGGTTCATCCCCAAGACAGAATAAAAGTCGGATATAAGAAGGATATAGCCTAGATATAAATATCTTACGATAGAGATGATATATAGGTGGGTAGGATTTTTAATATTCATGGTATAAAAGCTATTTTTCTTGAATAATAACATTTTTAAATAATAAAATCAAAAATAGTAATTAAATATAAATAATATTGAACTTTAATATAAAAAATTCAAAACTACAAAATATATATATGTCGTGACCTTCGCCTCTGGGTAATGGATTACTAAGCTTACACTTAATTTGAGCTCTTCCCAGCTCGTACCAACCGCAACTTTCAAGTTTAACCAATGTGCAAAATCAATTTATTTAGAAATCACCACTAAAATACTTTGGTGGGTCTATTAGTCACCTAAGTAATGTGTGAGAGAATACTTTACTTCTGCGAACCAAAGATAAAATCATGGATACGGGGACTTGATTACGCTAGATTACTCTAATGCCCTTTCGATACCTCTTCCCTTATTTTCAAAAAAACATTTTGCATGCAACTTGGATTAATTTTAAACTTAAGCACTAACATGTGAGGGATTATCATGCGGATGCGCAATCATTAAAGTAATAATCAATAATCAAGATATTAAATAAACTGCTAGAATGTGGAAAGAATTTAAGGCTCCGTTCGTTTCACAAAAAATAACTTCCAGTAAAACATTTTCCGAGTTTTCCGGTATTCATTTCACGGAAAATAAACTAGTTATGGAAAACATTTTCCTCAATGAACAAAATACCTTCAAGAGTGAGGAAAATGTTTTCCACTCTTTGAAAAACAGAAAATATTTTCCCCTTCCTTCTTTCATCATTAATTATAATTTTTTTTAATTCAAATTTTTTATTAATTTTAATTATCTTTTTTATTTTATTTCTTTCTTTTTTCTTTTTCTTTTCCTCCTCCTCCTTCCTCGGCCGGCCACGGTGGTGATCGGCCATAGGCGAGCTGGAGCCTCGCCACAGGCCTGCGAGGCTCAAGCTTGCCTGTGGCTGGCGACCGGCCAAGGAAGAAGAAGAAGGAAAAAAAAGAAAAAGAAAAAGAAGAATAAAAGAAAATTTAAAATAATTTTAAAAAATAAAAATATATTAAAAATATTGCAAGGAGGAAAATCTTTTCCATACCAAACAGCGGAAAATATTTTCTGAGAATTTTTCAGATTTCAGCTGAATACCGAAAAATTGTTCCATTTCTTCCTAAAAAATATTTTCCAGAAACATAACATTTTTCGCGAAACGAACGAAACCTAAATACACTAATCAATTTCGTAAATATCTGCAATATGTCAACTATAAATACATATCTAAAATAAACATGGTTTCAACAAAAAAAAAACAACATGAACAAGGTTTCTAAATAATTATGCAATCCTAGTTAATTCTTTTTGATTTTTTCTTTTTTTATGAAAATTAAACTATATACAATGATTGTAATGCAAACCTTTAAGGCAACTAATTTAACTTGGCACAAAAATGCTATCTATATGACCTAATTCTAATGACAATTAAATAAATTAACATTATTCTAACATGACATGCAATTTTGACTAGATAAACCTAACATGAAATCATTCAAATGACATGGCATGGTGGTGATGTGGCGATGACGTGGCAATGACACCACAAGCATGATGACGTGGCATAAATAACGTGGCACGATGACATGAAATGATGACATGGCGAAATACGATGACGTGGCAAGATGACATGGCAAAATATGATAACACATGCATGTGCAACTAAATATGCACATGGTATCTTTATTTTTAATCAAAAAATTTGAAATTAATAAATAATGAAAATAAACTTCCTAAAGTGAAAAGTTCTCTAACTTGAATTAAGAAATAATCTAAGCTAAATCCTATTTTAACTTGGAAAACCTATCCTAAATCGCTAGATATTATCTAAACATGCAATGCTATTCAAGAATATCCTAATCTACCATGCCATGTCAGCTTTTTTTGTATTTTTCCAAATAAGTAAATTCAAACAATAAGATCAACAAAAAATCATAGAATATATCCATAAAATTCAAACTTGGAAACAAATAAACCGACACCCCGATCTTAGTATCTAAAGATCAAGTTACCGATTTTCTAGTGCAATCCATAACCCAATAAATACCTAAAGATGGAATTATCGATTTTGTGCACGTTTCGAACTAGGAAATTTTCCTAATTTGGATAATCCCAATAATCTTAAATAATCAATTAGATTACGATAACATCAAAATAGGCAATAAAATATTCAAATCAAATTCGAACAGGATAGTTACCTAATTCAAGGATTTGTTTCCAAAATGGGATCGACGGAGGGACACTAGGGAGCGGTCGCGGTGGTACTCGGTTTGGTGGCCAACGAGCTCTCGATAGTTGCTTGAGCTTCTTGGTGATGGCTCGGTTCCGTCGGTGGGAATCTTTGATTTGCTGGATTGTGGCTGCAGGGCTGCTGGCTGGGCATCGTCGATCGTGGTTTAGCAGCAACAACAGGTGCAGGCACGGTGGCAATGGCGGCGACGAGCAAAGCAGCGGCAATCAGCATCAAGTACTTCGGCGAAGCAGGAGCAGCTTCATCAACGCGACTAGCATCGAGAATTGGGGATGCAAGCAGAACGAAGCTGATAGAGGGCTCATTGACGGCGCTGGTACAAGCGACGGCATTAAGGCTCGTTGCTAATATCGCCGCGAGCTGGAGCTCGCCATTAGGGGCTTCTCGGTCGGCTGGAAGGGTAGCAACTCGTCGGTTGTGCTGGTTCTCCGTCGTTGAGCAACAAGCAATGTCAGGTGTCGCGGTTGTGAAGGGGTTCGGCTATGTGGCTCAGCCAAACTCCCTCCTTCCCCCTTTTCTCTCCAAGTGTGTTTCAATGTGTTCTCTATTGTGACCTCAATTGTGTCTGACCTCTCTTGAATTTGAGAAATAAGAGTCCTTTTATAGTGGTAATCAGGTTTCTTATTCCCTAACCTTGATTATGGGCTTAACTCTTTAATCCTTGTGGGGCTTATTTTAATTCATATTTAAGAAATAATGGGCTCTATTAACATTAAGTTTAAATCTTTTTGTCAGTTCCATTCATAATGCAATTGTATGGGCTTAACCCAACTCATTAAGCTCATAATCCCCTCTATTCATATAAATTTCCACGAACATAATTCCACGGGCTTGGCCAAATTTGATTCAATTAAGTTCAAGGCCTTTTAAATAAGTTCATCCATCGCAGGTCCAATTCAAATGCAATTTTTATGAGTTTATCATTACTAATGCAAATGAAATTAATTAATTTATTTTTGTTAAGGGGTTGAGGTTAATCCCTAATTTTCTAAACAATAATATCTTAGATGAATCGTCAATATTTGGGTGCCAACAACATTAAAAAAAAAGAGAGGAAAATTAATAAAAATAAAAATGAAGTAGACGAGAGAGTTAAAGCACTACACTTTTTGGAATTGCAAAGGTAATGATTATTTTCTTTCTCTTACTAGATTTTAAATTCGCTAACTAATCTACCTTGTTGATATTTCTTATCATAGTCGAACTGTGGCTCTGGGATGCTACAATGAGCTCATTTGCTATTTAAGATTTAGATTGTACAATAATTATGGATTTATCAATGGAGATTATCTCCATTTGTGCAATTGTGATTTTTTTAACATCGGATTGCGAGAGACTTTTACCATCTCCGTTTGTACATTTTCAAGTTCATTTAGATTGATATGTCGTTTATGTCAAACAATGGATATGATAGAATACGAAAATATTAAGCTTTATTGTTGAGATTTACCAAACAATTGATAGGATATAATAAAATCCCTGATTATGACAGTTTTGTTTCGGTTGGTTAGGGATTTTGCCTTGATATCGATCCATCTTACTGTACCGATGCGGAAGAAGGCTCTCTCTCTCTCTCTCTCTCCTTTCACCTTTTTTTACATTTAAGAAATAAAAATAAATAAATAAATAATATGTGGTCCGGTTCGGGCGGTCCAGTTCCCTTCTATGGAACAGGGAACCGGACCGAAAATCACCGATTTCAATTTTATGGAATCGAGAATTAGATCAACACCTCCGGGAACTGTCTAGAACCGGCCGACAGCTCTCGATTCAGTCGGTCCGTCTTGCTCACCTCTAATGAGATTGGGGACAAGGTAGAGGAACTTGCCTTGCATTGAGTAATGGGCGGGGATGGGTCACTTTTAGTAATTATGGGGCGTCACCAAAAAATGCTGCTTTGTGAAGGACGAACCCTTGACAATTTAGGTGTCTGGAACTCAAACTCGAAGTTTCTACAGTGATTTTTGTCGAGAAAGTTCTTTATACTATTTTGAAGATGAGAATATAATCAAAGAATTTTACTATGTGCATTTGAGTATGCAAAACGAACAACTTTTACATACATGAGTCAAAGGTAAATAGTGTTAATACCAGGACTTCTAACGCATGAGAAGGCTTTGACTATGCGGAAAAAGAACAAGCTCTTGGATGTGAATTATGTCTTAAGTCTAGAACGATCTCTAAAACAAGTTCTAGAACGAGGGTCCAATAAAACTTAGATGAACCAACAGAAGGTGAGCAACATGTAGATCATAAAGAACATCAATTTGCTTGGAAAAACCATCATGTAGAAGGCGAACAAACCATATAACGAGATTTTGTGAAAAGCATAGAAGTGCCTTTTTGCAGAAGCAGTTCATGCTACAGATGAAGTCGAAGGTTCTAAAACGAGCCTCTACAATCCTAGTGGGTGTCAGGACCTTCCTAGAGACAAACCACCAAGGAAAAGCTAATGAGTTACTAAGCAAATACTTAGCGCAGACTCTCTCAAGTCTATACGAATTGCAACTTTGGGGTTTTAATTTAATCATTAAACATGCAAATCATTTCATTTTGGAGCCGCCCTAATCCATTACGGGTCGGTTAGAAAGTATAATATGAGAAAACATTTTATCTTCTGCGAATTAGATATTTCATGAATATGGAATCTTGGTTATGCTAGATAAAGCTAACGCCATTTCAGTACTCTTTATTTCAAAAATATTTTATAAGCAATCTTGGTCAATTTTCATCATAATCCACTGACATACGATAAATGATCATGTAGGTACGCAACCATGGATTTAACACTCAATAAATCAAAATAATAAAGTGCAAGAAAATATCAAACCTCAAAACATAAAGTAAGCCAAGTAAAAGTCCCATCATAACTAGGAGTGAGTGGTTCCTGGTCCGATCCGGTCCAACCCAAGAACCGGGAACCGGACTGGGAGGACCGGTTCCTAGTTTCTAGGATCAGGGACCGGATCGATGGTCCGGTCTAGTCCATTTCCAATTGGACCAATATTAAATATAATTTATGAACCGGGAACCAATTGTTCCGTTCTTTCCTTTATAGTTCTTATTTGATTCCATAAGGCCATGGAAACAATTGAAAAAATATATATAATATATGAAAAAATTGAACAATCGGTTCCAATGGGACTAATATTAAATATTTTATATATATATTAAATATTATATACATGAAAAAATTAGAAAAATATATATTTATCAGTCCGGTCCGGTTTGGTTCCCACCCTAGAACCGGGAACCAAACCGCCCAGAAACCGAATCGATATTCCCGACAACTGGACCAAACCAGTCGGTCTGGTTCGGTCCGGGCCAATCCGATCCCGGTTTGGGCGGTCCATCTTGCTCACTCCTAATTATAACGGGGTTCTTTACAAACCACTAATGAAAATGTGAATGCTACACAATACACGAGCTGATTATTAACATGAAACCCATATTAACAATTGTTTTTGTATTTTTCTTTTTTCGACTAAACATGGTATTAATTAAAATTTCCTAAGACATGAACATAAAAATTATATGCATTATCAATTTCGTATGATGCTTTCGCGTAAGCTCTATTCATACAATTGATAAGCAATTTGTGCCAGATTTTAACTTACATTTTCTTGAAATTGATCGACGTAATTTTTTTACTAAACAAGGTAAAAAAGTTTGAATCATCTACATATTATATTAGGCTCTGTCTATTTCGTGAAAAATGAATACTTTGAAAATATTTTCCAAAAAATAATCTCTTGTATCGCTTACGAAAATGTATGAACGAAATATATTTTCATTATCTACGAAAATGTTTAGATATAAAATGCTGTCGATAGTGAAAACATCTTCTATTGACTAATTATTTTAGGAGATACAAGCAATTATTTTTTGAAAAATATTTTTTAAATCATTCATTTTTCGCGAAACAAATGGAGCTTTAGTCTTACAGTGCACATTCAATTTCTATTCGACATGTTCTCTAGTTCGCTTACGTACCTCAAATTCCTTTTGATTGAATATAATCACATGGGTTACTATTAATATCATCCGAAAAGTGATGACCCGGCATATTACTCATTGATAACTATTTTACTCCAAACTTATAATTATAAAAAAAAACTGCTCAAGTGTTTTACAAATCTCACTAGAAATGAGTATTCACGGAAAATTGTTCAAAAAGTTATAAACCTATTGTATTTTTGCTAATTCAATCCTAAACCTTTTAACTTCTTGCCAATTGAGTTCATTCAACTAATTTTGACTGACGTGGATGCCAGCTAGCGGCCGATCATCCGGCCAACTTTGATGTGGCAATTTTTTAAATATATTTTCAAATTTTTTAATTAAATTTTTCATTATTTATTTTTTCTTGTGGGCTTCTTCCCTTTGGCCGGTCCAGAGGCGAGGGCTGGCGAGGTGGTCGACCTCACCGACCTTTGGCGAAGCTCGCCCCTGTAGGCCACTGGTGAGCCTCACCGTCGCTGTCGCCTGGGTCTCCCTTGCTCGGTGATGGCGAGGTTGAACCTCGCCAGCCAAGGCGAGGCCAACCTCGCCATCATCTGGGTCTCCCTTGCCCAGCCAAGGCAAGGCTAGGGGCTGGTGAGGCTCGCCCTCACCAGTGGCGAAGCTCGCCCCAACAGGCCCTTGCCTTTAGCCAGTAGGGAAGAAGACTAAAAAAAAATCAAAAATATATTAAAATATTTTTTAAAAATTGCCACGTCAGCATTGATTGGACGGCTAGTGCTGGCTGGCGTCCACGTCAGCGCCAAGCAGCCAAAATTAGCCGAATGGACTCATTTGGCAAGAAGTGAAAATGTTTAGGATTGAATTGGTAAAAATGTAATAGATTTATGACTTTTTAGACAATTTTCCTGAGTATTTCAAGTAAATATAGAAAAGGGAAAATGACACAAAAAGTTCCTGAACTTTGGCTTAATGTGCAATTTAATCCCTAAACTTTTAATTTGTTCAATATAGTTTCTGAACTGTAACGCAATATTCAATGTGGTCCCTAAGCTTTCAATTTATTCAATGTAGTCCCTGAATTTTTTGTATATGTTCAATATAGTCCCTGAACTTTATATGAATGTTCAATATAGTCTTTCCATTAATTCAAGTTCATGGACTGTATTGTACATTTTCAAGTAGTTCAGGGACTAAATTGAACATGTACCAAAAGTTCATGAACCACATTGAACAAATTGAAAGTTCAGGGACCACATTGAATATTAGGTTAAAGTTCAGGGATTACATTGAATAAATTAAAAATTCAAGGACCAAATTGCACATTGAGCCAAAGTTCAGAGACTGTTTGTGTCATTATCCCCATAGAGAATAATAATTACCACTTAACTATTTCACTTCGAGTAGAAAATGACACAAATGATCACTCAACTTTGATCCAATGTGTAATGTGGTCCTTAAACTTTTAATTTGTTCAATGTGGTATATAAATAATAGTTCAAGGTGCAATGTGGTCCATAAACTTGAATTAGTTCGTAGACTAAATTAAACATGTATAAAAATTTTAGGATTACATTAAACAAATTAAAAGTTTAGGGACAATTTGTGTCATTATTCCTATTTCAAGCTTGTTAATTAAAGGAAAAAACCACTCCAACACTTTTCGAAATCCTCCGAAGTTATTTTAAAGGAAACTATGGAATGCATTCACCAGAGGGGATGTAGCTCACATGGTAGAGCGCTCGCTTTGCATGCGAGAGGTACGGGGTTCGATACCCCGCATCTCCATCTTTTTCAGTTGAACCATCAACATCCGATTTCCCTTTATGTTTTTTGTGTATATTTCCTCAGAGTGACCTCAAAAATTTCCTTCGAACCAAGAAATCTTGAGCGAAATTTTGCGGTCAATTACCCATAATTTAGCTATGTGTGGATGTTATGTTGTAATGATGTTTTCTGGTTTTTCTGATTGAGCTCTTTAGCCCCGGTTTGGTTGGTTTGAGCATGTAGCATCACTGCAAACATACTCTCAACCATATGGCTTTGGTCTTTCATATGCCTTGCCGGAGAAAGAATTATCGTCCTTCATTTTGTGTTGAGAAAGATCGAAACTTCGGATAATTCCATCAGCAATTGGAGTAGAACAGTGACGAATGTCGATATAACGGAAAAAATTTACTCGAACAGATGACACCGTTTAAAATTACATCAATTTTTTTCGGACCCCGCTAAACATCTCCATCTTTTTCAGTCGAACCATCAACATCCAATTTCCCTTTATGTTTTTTGTGTATATTTCCTCAAGTGACCCCAAAAATTTCCTTCAAACCAAGAAATCTTGAGCGAAATTTTGCAGCCAATTACCCATAATTTGGCTATGTGTGGATGTTATGTTGTAATGATGTGTTCTGGTTTTTCTGATTGAGCTCCTTAGCCCCGGTTTGGTTGGTCTGAGCATGTAGCATCACTGCAAGCATACTCTCAACCATATGGCTTTGGTCTTTCATATGCCTTGCCGGAGAAAGAATAATCATCCTTCATTTTGTGTTGAGAAAGATCGAAACTTTGGATAATTCCATCAGCAATTGGAGTAGAACAGTGACGAATGTCGATATAACGGAAAAAATTTACTCGAACAGATGACACCGTTTAAAATTACATCAATTTTTTTTGGACCCCACAAAGCTAGAGCAATTTCGGCGGACAGTCGAATGTGGACATGATGTTGTCATCGCAGCATTGCCGTTCATGCAGCTGGTCAGAACTTGGCCAAAACTATCTCCCTCATGAACTCCTTGGGTGCTGTAAAACAGAAGGTATCAGTGTGGTTGTGATCACGTCCATCATGAATCAGATGCGTGCGGTCTATATTTGTGATTTTAAGAGAGTTCTACGCGTTGCAGCGATCTTGTAATGTCTTTGTGAAGTGAAAGTGGGAAAGATGCATGGCTTAATCATATATTAACTGCACAAGGATGCTTTCACCAATCCAAGAGGAACTTGGGATTTTCTTCTGGCAAATTCAGCAAAACCGAAAGACTAGAGATTGCCACATGACAAACCAATTTGAAACAGAAATCAGCGGCCTACATGATGCTTTGATGCTGAAATGGATTGGTAACGCTTGTACTCAAATTCCAGTTTTGATCACACAAATGTCAGAGATTTGTCGACCGATCCTTCCTAACTCATAGCTTCATGCTATCAATTGGGCAAAGGAAAAGAAAGCAGACCCGACTACTACATGACTGACAAATTTTCAGTGAAGCAGAAGTTCGATTTTTGGTTATTCGGTGAAACTACGATGTCTTCTTGGTGAATTAGGCATTTCAAAATTTTCACCGTCTTGTTCTTACTACATCCGGGAAACAAAAGCAATATGCATGAGAGAGAGAAAAAATGTAAATTATGTGTCTATGTAGTTACAAGCAAAGAGAAAAATCTGAAGATGTACCTTCTCCTCCAGTAAAGAGATCGAACTGGCCTATGGCCTGTCTGAGGAACATTTCAACTCCACTTACAATAATTGCTCCGGCAGCCTTGGCTTCCTTTAGCAGAGTCGTCTTCCTCGGTGTATACACTGCATCAAAAACGAGCTGGAAAACCCCCAAACTTGCCTAAAAAACATAAAAGCATCTTCAGCTACAACAAGCAAATTATGTCTTTTGTTGTTGAAGGGATTCACTTCAAGTATGGGACCTCGGAAACTGGTATTCGGTCTTTGTTTGGATGCATTCCAATAGGCGTTGCATTAGCAAGAATTGACCCTTTCTCCGGCTGGAAGTAAGGTAAATCACCATAAGGCCTAGCTTCGCCGGATACAGCATGAGCAAGTATCTTTGCCCTTTCTATTAACATGAACTATCCCGGTATTAGGTGGAAAGTATTTAATATCCAATTCCAGAACAAATATTAATGAACAATCACAAGTCACTTCATGCTAAATAATTCCTAATTGGCATACCAAAATCGATGTCGAAAATGACGATCCGAGCTCCTCTGGTTTTAGCACCGAAAGCCAAAGCTCTTCCTGCACCTCCAGCACCAACTAGCACAAACTCTTTCCCGGCCAGGGGAGAAACCAAAGATTGTTTGCCATTAATGCATCGACATTCTGCAAGAACTCGATGAGTGTCTACCGATAAGTCAATTTTCTTAAACTGTGAAGTTTATCACTATTCAACAGGCATAAGCAATAAGAAATAATGCATCTTGACCCCTCCTTAAGAAGGCTTCATTTGATACGTGCTGAAAATTTAAATACCTTGCAGAGCATCTTCTATGGCAGTTACTGAAGCCTCACAATCTGTGTTATAGCCGATTAATTTCCCATCACTAGGCCTCCTTACTATAGTGTTAACAGCACCTATGGACTGATGAGAGATATAATAATTTGGGGGATAGTCAATACATCAACATGCTTGAATTGTGATTAAGGCCACACATCAGGAAGAGAGAATCAATCAAAATATATCAGGGTAAATAAACCTGGAGATTTATGGCAATTGCAGTTTAGTCATATGAGATAAAATGAATGAATGTCTGTAGCTTACTTGCTTAAAAGAAGTAAGAAGTGCGAGAGGGGCTCTATTTGTGTGGTATGAGCATGCAGATTGCAGTTATTGCGGATAAAAGTTTTCAGGCTAATTTGTTGCTAAAAGTTGGATAAAATTTAAGAATGATAAAACAACCTGGTGACTATGAAATGTTTTCCTTTTAAGGATTTGGATTATCGTCAAAACAAACATGTTATTTTCTTTCATGAGAGGGGTGAAAAACAAAAATGATCTAACATGTGTAGATCTGCTATGAGCTGAACAAGTTTAGAGATGGAAAGAACCAGAAAATCATGTCACGGAAAATTGGGCAATAGGAAGTGAAGCTCACCTGAGCAAGTGGATTTACTTCATCACAAAACTGAATGACAGCTTCTTTATATGGAAATCCCACACTGCAGTTCAAAACTAAGAGAATTTCATGTCTAGATCAAAAAGAAAGAACTCAAATAGACACTTTAATTCCGGCCAAAATAAAAAATGTCTCTGTAATTATACAGACAAATTTTACCTAAATGAGGTCAGCACAGTGAAGGAAACTCGAGAGATCAGAAGTCAGGACTAAAAAATGAGTAGATATGCATTATTTGACTTCTTGCAAGCTGCTGTACTGGAAAAAGGATAAAAATGAAAGGAACTTGTTCAAAGAGATGGGAAAGTGTAGGTGGAGACTAGCCAGATTGCAGGAGATGGAGTGAAGCTTGTTTGTGTTTATAATATGCTACATAGGAGTCGGTTGAGTAAGAGACTATGACGTACCGACATAATCAATGAGCAAGAAATTAAATGTGCTAGAAACACAATTTTAAAGAATGAGATACTAGCAGCACCTGGAAGCATAAAGCAGTACAAAATGATTAATGCATGTTAAGTGCACGAACATACCTAAAACCAGCAAAGTCAGGGGTGGAGTACACTTCAAAGAATTCTTTAAGATTGTCGACAAACATCGGAACATAAAGTCCATTGATATTCATATGTCTGAACGTAGGGTTATGCAAAATCGGACCTTTGCTGTGGCCAACCGGTTTTGAGATGAGGCCGAAAACTTTCGTATTTGAATCGATGTACTCAACTCTGTATGCTTTTCTTAGGCTTTCCAAAGTAGGAAGACCAGGAACCGCCTTTCCTTCTATCGAGCCATAGACTAAAGTACCACCAAATTTGGGACTCAACAATTGGCTGATCAGACCTCTTTCTCCAACAGAGTATGCAACTACTGGCATCTGCATGTAGCAACAAGAACTTTTTCACGACTCGACTTGAAATCTGTCGTAATTATGTGTGAATCGAACCAAGAATCTGGCTTTTTTGGCTGCTTATCCAAAAAAAGGAATAAGTTAACTTCAGTAAATTCTCATGGGGTTCGTACCTGGCTATAAGACAGTAAATCAAAAAGTCTGGTCAGTTCTGTGATATTACTAGCACTAGTGACAACTTTGATAATATCTGCACCAGTGGCTTGCATATGTGCAGCAAGATTGCTAAGTTCTTCTTTCGAAGGGGTCATGCCATCCAAAAAGCAAGAAACTATCACTTTGGTACCTCCACAATGAAATCTATTCCGCTTACTCATAAGTTCGGAGGCAACCTGAAGATTTATAACACAAATTCAGATGAATTGTCAAGTCGATCGATTGGTAATGGACATAAAATTGGAGTGCTTTTCAAGAGTTATTTTCCCTGTCATTACACCAAAATGTTCGTAAGTGCCATTCAAGAGAAGTAATTTTAAAAATTGTTCATGGAATACTATTTGATACCTTGAGCTCGAAATCAACATAATCAGCACCTAATTTCAGAGCAGAATGAAGTGCTTCCAACCGGGCTGTTTCATCGCCTTCATAGAGCCCCCCTTCGCATTTAGGCCTAGGGGGATAAGTTCATGTTAGGTAGACTTCAGTATTACCTCGTTTGAGATTCATACATTCCTCACATAATACTTGTTCAACTGTTCCATCCATTGTGAAAGGAGAGGTAGGCAGGTTGCAGAACTATTTCGTTGTTTTCTCTACTCTTTCTGCTCCAAACATTTGCAAATCAGCCACAAGATTTTCCTTTTTGACTCGCATCATTTGCAGATTTAAAGAAAGTTAATTGGCCTATGGAAAGAGCAGGGAACTAATCTTTTGACTTATGCATATTTATTGATTATGCCGGTGCCACCAAGCGTATACTGGTTTCTGCAACAGATGACTACAATAGCTGAATTACAAGATATGAGAAGTTCTCCTTTCTGACGAACATGATTTTAAATACTCTCGATGACAAAAATCCATCGGAAGTACTAGACCTCATAGAAGTGCAGTAGTCCCAAGCTTTTTCAAAAAAAGTGCAGTAAAGTCCTTTCCTTGTGAATTGGCTAACTGGCAGCCCCAGAATTGCCTAGCTGGCGGCCTGAGTTAAGAGAAAGGAGAAGCGACAACCCGAAAGACTTTATTTCACTTTTCTGGAAATTTGTAGGACTTAAATGAACCAATTGATCAGTTTATGCTGGGATGCCTTTAGGTCCATCGGCGCATGAAATGCTTGAAAGTCTATATGTTAAGCTGATGTGATGCATAAAACCTGGCATTAGGGGAAACATATGTACCTGTAAACAATGATAATCGGCAATGGCTTGCTCTTGAGGATGATTTCAAGGTCCTGGTGAGCCTGAAAGTGCTTGATACAATCCAGCCTGACCTCAACTACATCGGCACCTTGTGCCTTTGCCTTGTGCATTTCATCAATCACATGGTCAACAGATTCACCCATTATGGGTGCACAAACCATGGTCGGACTATCACTTGACAGAGGGAGACTACCCATTTTGGTGAATTAATCAAGAGTACCAAACTCCGGCCGCCGATGCCGAAATGAGAATGCTACTCCAGGAAATCAGGAAATGATGCACAGCTGCAAGGGAATGAAAATTATCAGTTGTACATCAAAGGTTGCAACTTTGTTCACAAGATGGGCCTTTTTAAGGTAGAAGCAAAATCAGACCGGACCTTTTCTCATGCAAATACTACCTCCACCACATGGTTTCAAAAGGTGCGTACGCCCAAACATATATATATAGACAGACAAATTGCATCTTCTTTTCTTTCAATGGCAAGAAAGTTCGTTTAGGTAGGTAAATCCGGGGCTCATTAAATGCCTGACCAAATAAGAAGCGAGCCAAATTCTGGAGGGACATAACAAATGGATTAGTTCAGTGACACAGAAGGTATCTGCAGATAAGGTTTGTTGGGGGCCTTATAGCAGATGTCACAAGATTAAACATTAAGAAAGAGGAATTGAATTTAAATATGAAGAAAGCTACAAAAGAGGAAATATGACAATATCTTGGACTCTGAATGGACACTAGATAGAACATAAATCAGCCAAGTCAGTGCAGTGGAATCGGACGGAGAATATTGCAAAAGAATCGGCATCAGTTTTTCTCTACTTCGTCATCTTGTACTATATGCATTGTTTTGTTTCAGTTTTATCCTAAATGGGTCGACCTTATCGTTGAAACTCGCATTCCTCATGCTCTTCCCAAGCTCCGAATTGGGATGGCATCTGAAAGATGCGGCATCCAATGCCGCTACACCGAACTTAATACCATAGAAAATGCCGTCTTACGGTCGAAACCTTACCATTTGGTCCCCTACACAATTGTTTAAAGACAAAAAGCAAGTCCCAGAACTTGGAATACCTAATTGTCGAGTTGATGACAAAACGTCTTGTTTAGTTAATCACAAAACTTCTTGTTTTTTTAATCAACATGTTGAATGGCAACGGACAAAGACAGTTTCTAGATCAAGTTTTTGGTTGGTGATGATCAAAAGGAAGTTGCTCTTGGTGGGGTTAGTGGGGTTGGTGTGAGGTGACATATTAATAGGTGGGACCCGGTGGATTATCTCTCCACGTCATTCTTGCCAGTAATGTTCCCACCCCCAATATAATATATCAGCTCTGTTATATGAATGTCGTGATGGACAGAATCAATTGATGCACAACAAGATTACGTAAGACTGGATGTTTGTATTGTGTAAGGATCTAAGCATGTCTTGAAAAGGCTTCATCTCAGTCTTTATTCGGATCTCGAGATTACCGGGACGTAAAACTTTCAAAATATATTCTCTTTCTTTATGGAAGACAAAGATAAATAAAGAAATTAGGGGTGCGACGTGTACAACCACGAAGGCCCTCGTAGGAATGTAAGCTCCCTTTCGTTGATAAGGTGAACTCTTAATTGAAACCCCACGGATTTGGTGGATTCTCTCTCTACGTCATTCTAGCCTGTAATGTTCCCGCCCCAACACAATATATCAGCTCTGTTATGTGAATACCATGACGGACAAAACCCGGTCGTGCTGTTCGTCAAGATTGTGTGAAGATTTGATGATTGTATCGTGTCTCTCGATTGATGATTTGAACTGTTAATCTATGGAAAGATGGGGTTGGGGGAAGTGACTTCTATCACGGCTCGACTTCGATTCGTCCGTTCCTTCCGTGTTGCTGACGAGCCACCGAAAAGGCTTTGTCCATTGCTAAGTGCCAATCGAGTTTGGAGTGATATCACCATCGCATGTTGGGCCGCTAGTACGCGGCTTTCCTAAACGATGCACTTTGATGGGAGGCGTTGAAATTTAAGGGATTGGAATTAGAAAAGGAGGAGGCATTTTCCATGGGTGTTGTTTGATATGGCCGCAAATGATGACTAAGGATGCGTTTGTTTGGACTTTAATGAAAGCGAAGAAATACCCGTTAACATTTAGAGTTTCGTTCAAAGTTTAGAAAATTATAAAAAAAAAATTGTATGTGAATTTACATGTCAACTTTCGAGTGCTGTGAAAAGTTTGAGAAGTTTGGGAATTTAAAAGTCGAAGTGCGTGAACTGCATGATTTACATTAAACAAAAAGTGAAATATAAAAGTCGTTTCAAATATATGCTCTTAATTTATTATTTTTTTTGGAAAAGGAGTGTTTCCCTATTTAGAATAGAGAAAATTAACGAAGAGAGAAATTCCATCTTAGTAGGGAAAAAATGAATATATTAACATTCAAAGTTTAAAGCTATTGCCCTCGTCGGCCACTGGCCAAGCTGGGCAAGGGCATCCAAGCCCTCACCTGCGGCCGTCAAGGGCCCGAGACCCTCACCAGCCATAGTTAAAAAAGAGAAGAAAAGGAAAAAAAAAAGAGGAAAAAGAAAAGAAAAAAGAGAAAAAAAATTATTAAAAATTGTCTACGCCAACGCCGGCTCTGCCACATAGGATGGCCGAGGTCCACGTCAGTAATTTCAGTCAAAATTGGCCAGATGAGCTTAATTAGCAAAATATGTGAAAAGGTTTAAACCTCAATTGGTACAATCAAAGATATAAGACTGAATTGGCAAAAGCGCACTATATTTGAGATTTTTTTGGTAATTTTCCCAATTAATGACTAGATAGGAAGCATTTATCTCTTGATATGTTCGTCTATAACTTGCACAAACAAGATCTCAAAACCTCGGATAAGATTAAGCTTTTCACCTTAAGTGAAACGCTTATGTAACAATTACCATTTTGAGTGTTTAAAATAAATGAAATTCACAAAATAAACTTAGAACTAGTTCACTCGGTAAAATCATTTCGATAGCACTCTTTAGTAGTGCTTTTATCTCAGTCAATAAACAAAAAATGGGTTTTATTATTTCACTTTATTAATGATGTTTATCACATGCTATCCTTTCTTGCATGGAAAATCAAGAAATATCTATGCTTACAAAAACCAGGAACTATCAATCAAAATTCTTAATTAGGTCTGAATTTGGAGTGCCTATGAATGTGCGTCCCAAACGTGAATTCTTTTAAGGTGCATTTGTCTCGCGAAAAATGAGTGATTTGGAAAATATTTTTCGAAAAATGATTGCTTATATCGTTTAAAAAAATTAATCAATAAAAAATATTTTCATTATCAATAACAATTTATACCTAACTATTTTCGTGAGCGATGAAAAATTTTTCTATTCATTTAGTTTTGTGAGCAATACGAGCGATTATTTTTCGAAAAATATTTTATAAATCGTTTATTTTTCGCGAAACAAATGCACCCTTAGTTTCGGATCAATTCGACCTTTTTCCTCCCACCTCCCAAGAAAGAGGAAAATTACAAGATTGACTTCCCCAACCCATAAAGACAGGCCAGCATGTACACGCAGGACTGTTTTGTGGTTTTCCAATGATAGCATTGGTAGAGAAGTTCAATTGAGTTTCTTCTGCATTTCCACTTCTTCTGTAATCTTCTCCAAACCAATTTGTCAATTCCTACGCGCAGATCATGTGTAGTTAGGTGAAGCCCCTTCTTCCACCTACCCAAATAGTAGGTGATGAAAGCTTTTGAGTTCCAAAGGGTTTTGTCCCTTGGTTTGGGCAACCCAAATGTCCTAGTATTAGTGCATACCAATTCTGGTTACTAATGTTGACATTCATGTAATTAAACTCTGACATCTACCTCAATTTAAAATCATGAGAAAAAGGGAAAAAGTTTGATATCACCTGTCTACTTTTGGATAGTGTAGATCCCAAACTTAAATAGGTTGCGTCGTATCCGCTCAACTCGTAGTTTGTTGTAGCGGCTAATTCATGCATCGAATTACATTGTTGTCTTGCCGTACACGACATTTTAAGGGGGAAAGTCCAACTTTTTCTACATTTGTATACAATATCCTTTTTAACCCCGCTTCAAATAAAGAGAGAGATATAAAGTACGCTTAAAGTCCTAAAATTTATTACGAATGTATAATTAAGTCTTAAAACTTTTAAAATCCCAGCACTTAATAAATTGATGGAATCAAGTTTATCCGTTAAGTTTGTCAAATTTGGCTAACAAAAAACGTTGACAGGGCTTTTTTTTTTCCTGACCGGTAACATTAACTCAAGTGAACCAACAGGGCAAAACGACTTTGTTTTGGGCAAATCACCGCCAATTCCGATGGAGCTCATAATCAGGTCGAAACATCCATCTCGCTCGACCTGGCTTTGATCAACCCCTATCAACTCCGTCAAGACCTATCGAGACAACCTAACTTCTCTCGGCACGGCCGTGACGTGTCTCGCACCCTATCATCTCCGTCAAGGCCTATCAAGACAACCTACCCTCTCTCAGGGTGGTCGTGAGGTGTCTCGCAGGCAATACTCGATCCCTCACTACTTTGTGTAGCGGCCCCATCATCGTCAATGCTCTCTCTCTCTCTCTCTCTCTCTCTCTCTCTCTCTCTCTCTCTCTCTCTCTCTCTCTCTCTCTCTCTCTCTCTCTCTCTCTCTCAGTTGGCCGAGGTCGCTCAACCTCAAATTGCAAGTTGTGCGACCTCAAATCCGAGGTTTCGTGCTCACTCCGTAGCTCAACCTCAAGTTAGAGTCTATTTGTGCATGGTTACATGCGGTATGATTTTAATAGTTGGGAACGAGTATGGTGGTGGTCGCGACCGGTCCGGTGGTGGTGGACGAGTTTGGAGATGGTGGTCGAGTCTTATGATGCTAGGTGGTGGTGGGGGATGAGTTTGGAGGTGGTTAAGTACGAAGTTGGCTATAGGGCCTAAATTAGGTTGCAGGGGAGGTAGTGTTCGGTTCCATAGTGGTCGTCTTCAAGCGCAGGGGATAACTGGCAAGGCCGTAGGTGGTGGTGCTGTTTAAGTCCGGCAACAGCTGTTCGAGGCGACGGAGGCCGGCCGGCGACCATGGACAGCTGTAATTGTGTTGTTTTCTGCATGAGAGAGAGAATCCGATAGCATGCCTTTTTTTGTAAAATTTTTAGCTTTTTTGTTTTATGGGTTATTACCAATAAACTCTCAAGGTGACGACATATTTACCCTGGATTATTTTTTTTTGGTAAGGTAAACCCTAGATTATTTTTCATCTCACAAAAAATCTAAAATCGGAACCCACATGACACATTTACTACTAACTAATTTTCGTCTCACAAAAAATTTACCAAAATCAGAAACTTCTGTCTTATCACGCCAGTCACCTAAGATAATAAAGAGCAGCGTAAATGCATTTGTTATCAACAACAAGATAGAACGAAAAATAAGATAAGACTTGGCAAATCATGCCCACTTTTCACCATATATATCAACATTCAACAACAAAAATCAGGACATGTATACATCCACATCCCGATCCCGTGTGGATTACATCCAATGCACGACTGATCTCCCACAATACCAGAATAACGATTAGTATTGAGGCTCACCTAAAACTTGCAGAAGACGTTACAATCATCAGATCCGAAGTACAAATTGCGCGTTTCACGACTCTCGGTCGTCATCAATTATTGTAGTAAGACATACAGTTCAATTGGAACTTACCTGAATGCAGAACTCCGAACTCGGATATCATCTGATCAGGCAAGTGGCTCTACTGAAAGAGCAATACAGAAGATATGGAACGAATAGTTGAACAGAGGATAGAATTCTGATGAAAAAGAAGAATGTTCTCTAAACAGCTGTTGTTTTTGCCCCGCGAAGGGCTTTGCCAAACTCTTACTTCTCCATGTCTTTGGGTCCATAAAACCATAAATAGACAGACTGATTGAATAAAGACCAGCAAATGAATTTACACTGATGGATGAGATACATGAGACCAAACTGGAAAAATTTACCATCTAGGACCACTGTAAGCACCCCTCGGACCAGCCAACCGTACCGGCCGACCACCACAGAGAGGCACTGCATAAGTTCTGCCATGGTAACGATCAACGCCATTAAAAGGGTATGGATCGATACGATAGTTGTTCTGGGGGATTTGCATCCCGTAGTATCCGGACGATCTCGCTGAGTATGGGGGCCCCATTTGATGCCTATGCGTATCCGCCGCGTGCCTATTGGAGGGCTGCGTCGAGTGATGACTGCCATTGGAGGGTTCCTTTGGAGTTTGTGGTTTCGGAGGTACCCTCTTACGCTTCTTTCCACCCTTCTTTTGTGGCTGACGGCTTGAACTGGCGGCTGAAGTTCGAGCAGTCGAGGCAGTGACCGTAGGGAGGGCATCACCACATGAGGTGGCAACATGATCAGAGGTGGCTTGTGCTGGCGGTTCCTCCTTTTTGTCCTGCTGTGTCAATGCATGCTGTGATCCTGCAGAACGATCAGCTTCGGATTCTCTCAGTTTACCTTCTACCTCAGCCTTCTGCTTTTCCAGCCGTTTGATATAGGATTCGAAATCCTTGTGCAAGAACTCTGACTCAAGCCTGTATATCGCTATCCATTTCATTGCAGTTTTTGTAGCAGTTAACTTTTTGTTAATAGCCTCAATCTGTAAGCAAAACTAGTATGAGGACCTTAGGAAAGGGTGCTAGCTGAATATGGAGATCGAGTTAAAGCATTATTTCTCATGGCAACATTTACCTGATTGCTAGGCGAGCTGTTTTGTTTCTTGGATATTGCATCTGCTCTGTTCTCCCAATATGCCAAATAGTCAGTGACGATAGACACTAGAGGGAACTTGTCCTCCATCTTCAGTGCATTAATGTACTTAATAGCATCGATCCAATGCTTCTTTTCAATAAGGTTTCTGATAAAACCTGGCAAAAAGAAGCAGAAAAACAAGGAAAACACGGTCAGATGAAAAGAAGCTATGAATAAATGATTCTTTAAAGCAAAAATATCATTAATATAAGACCAGCTGAGCATTTAACTCTTTGAAAACTGTACTGTGGGTTCTAACAAGAGACAAATTTCTAGGCCCATCATATGCATGGAAAATATTCAAAGCCTCTGAAATAACAGACACGAAACTTCTGCAACCGATCTCACTGATGGATTATATCCATACATGATAAGTAAATTAAATACCGCATTTCTCAAAAACCAATAACAAGTAGTACTGCAGTACTTCATTTTAATGATTTCATATTCACACTAACTATCTCTGTCCATGTAATCCCTGACACATTTTCTCGACCATTTTAACCAGAGACTAACAAACCCCAAGGGGTTGCTCAAGTGGAGAGTGGGTTTGTCCTCCTCGGTCAAGGCATGGGTTCAAATCACCACAATTGCATTTTCTCTTGAGGCCACCCCAGGAGCACAAACCTGTGTATCTCCGATAATTACCAAGTGTGTGTGGAGCGGGGGAGCTGCTATACCCAGTAGGGATTACTCAGTTGGTCAAAGATCCCCGCGCACCCCATTGATGTAAGAACAAAACCCCAGGATTATAGTAAAAGAACCAGGATATTGGCACAGTTCCCTGGAACTTCTTTCCTGCTGAAAGCAAAACTAGGACAGGCAGAGAGAAAGGGAGGTAACAGGAAGGAATCTTTACCAGGTAAAAACTCTGCTAATCCCAGAGACTCGCAAGAATCAGGGACCTGTTTAGCCCACTTCGATGGGTCCAAGAGATTAAGAACTTCATTAGCAGAAACCAGAGGAGCCAATTTGAAGGCAGCCAGAAACTGAAGAAAACATATGGTCTCCATATGATCATCTTTCCCCGCCTTCAAATTTAGTTTCCAACTAGTACAAAACTGTTTTGCCTCTTGACTTAACTGAGGATTGATGATAGGTGAAAATCTCTTTAAATGATCCAATAGTAATATGCAACGCTTTACGGGAATGCCCAACCTAATGAATTCTCTCGAGTTTGAAGGATCAGTATATTTCAGTGTGTTGAGAACAAGACTTGCGGGATCTGATGAGGACTGAAGAAGAGCAGAAATTTCATCACGCACCAACTCATATTCCACCTCCCTGCTGAGTATCTTTCCCAAAATCGTGCCATTAGGCTTACCAGTAGGCTTAGAGCAAAGATTCTCAGATGATGCCACCTCTGGATCATGCAATAATAAATTTCACATTATGAGACAACAAAAGGTATATATAATTATCAAGCACCTTAAGAAACTGAAACAAAGTTACAACAAAGATAAAGGCTCTCGAAGCACGAGAAGCGTAGCTATCTTGGTTCTCAAAATGAAATATGAGTGCTCGTATGCTCATAAATAATAAGATTCTGTTTCAGAATATGAAAATTCCATGCATAGGCTTCCACCATCCATTTCAGGTACATTGCTTTTAGGGTAGTAAATGCTACAAAATATACATTTCTCTTAGATGGGTCAGACGATATGAACTTGAGCACTTTCCGACGTTCAGCACTACTTCCAATAACAGACATTTAAAATTGAGAGCAATATCGGAAACTGTTGAAGAGCAACCTAGGGCACTCATTGAGACTATTAAATATGGTGTGGAAATGTAACTTTTCCAATTTCGGTTTGCTTTATATATAATCTTCAAATTTCTGAAGTATCTTAATAAGCATTCTTGCTGTTGTCCAGTTACCTTAACTAGTACCGCAAAAGCAGTTTTTAACAAGACCCACAATTACATAAAAGAGACGGCATCAACAGTATTCTTCCACTTGTCGTCGATCAAGAATGCCGTGTTGCTAACTTCAAGAGATGCCAAAGGTCATCATATCAGTGCTAAATTTCCTCCCCAGCAAAAACTTTAAATCTAAGGAAAGAAGTAGGGGCCTATGTACAGCTACTGGATGGTAATAACCACTTCGACTCACGTGTTTGTTAACGGGTGACAAAAACGAAAGTTACTCAGACAGTTGGATATGGTGTACCTTTATGCGTAATGTGCGATGACTGAGCATTAGAACTGGCACCAGCAAAAAGATTCGATCCAGCTTCTGCCAATGCAGCTGTACGTGGATGCTTACCTCTATGCTGTGGTGAGGTTGAAGTTTCTGGTGCTGGTTTGACAGCAGTCTCGGTGGTGATAGCAGAGATAGTTTTGATAGAGGTAGGGATAGAGGATGGAACAGGAGCAGCTACTATAGCAGGACTATGTAATTTGCCATCCAATTCTCTCACTTCGAAGCTGTTGATCTCTGCGGCTGCTTTTTTTTGCTCCCCATTTTGTTTCTCCATATAAGTAATGGCTTGCTTGATGTTTTCAGGTGAAATTGTTGACTTGATCTTGTGATCTTCAACGCATCCACCTCCAGCTTTCAGATCAGCCACTCTTCTTTTCATGGCCTGATTATGTTTGCAAGAAGTCATGAACACAAACATCGTAATTTGCATTAGCCATAAGATGCAAACTTAGGAAATATGGCATACCAACTGAGCAATCTATACCTGAGCTTCAGCAGAGTTATGTCCATTTTGGAAAATTGCCCCAGCGGCATTTTTGGAGATTCTCATGTAATCTTTCAAGAGGGGTTCCGGTGGAAAGTCATCTTCCATCTTGAAAGCATAAATAAAACTTACAGCCAGATTATGTTTCTTCTCTTTCACAAGGTTCCGAATGAAACCTACCATACCAATAGTCAAATGACTATCTTTATTAGATTGCCTCATTAAATGACCCAATGAAGATAGTGCATGCATAAACATCTCCCCATGCAAAAGTTAACCCATAAATTGCAAAAAGTGTGACTTGCGTAAAACAGGCGTAACAATAACATTAGACTGGCGTGAAATAGTCATAAGATCGAGTGCTCGAAAAACTTGTTCCAAGAGATTGGACATATATCTCGATACTCTCCTTTATGTGAAGGCTGAGGCTGGGAGGATGAGGAGAACCTAACAAAGGGTACGGCTGACAGAAGGGCGAAGGAATGGTTGAAACCCATAACGAACCCACAAATGGTGAAAGATAACGAACTATAGAGCTCTAAACCTCAATACAATCATCAAATGAATGATAAATTCTGCTGATAACATCAAAAAGCAACAACAAATTGTCTTCTTTTACTACTAGGTCGACCAGATTGAACAAATAATGACTCAAGATCATGTTACTTCATTGACAATTAAGACCCAGACTTCCAGCTCGAGTCCGGCTAAAGAAAGACTGATCCATTAGTGCAGCTGCATTCGGGAAAATGCCGATGGCCAGAAGCAAGGACGCACCCTACAGTCAGCATCAGTGCAGTACCTTTGTCTCTCATACTATTGAGTCGGCATAATCAAAATGCAAGCTGAAGTAATAATTTTTCATTTCCATTTAAGTCCTGCCATTCCCATCACATAAATGTCTAAGGCCTACTCCAGGAACTGAAGTGATGGGCACTGCAATGCCGCCCGGTGCTAAATTTTGCTTAAGGGATCGAGAGGCAGTTAAGGTGCAAATGGACAGCAAGCGACAACTGGAAAAGATTAAGCTATATAAAATGCAGGAGAGGCAAAAGTTTTACCTGGAATCTTATCCTTAAGGCCCAGGGCCTGACATAATTCAGGCATATGTCTAAACTGAGCAATTTTCTCCACATAATGTAAGATCTCGTCAGTATCGAAAGCGGAAGCCAATCCATAAGTAGCCAAAAGCTGTAAAAATCCCAATACTTCCAAGGAATTTTCGGCATCTGCTCTCATTTTAGTTATCCAGAAGAAAGACAATTTCGTCGCCTCGGTCTTTACCTGGAGGGTAATGGTCGGAGAGATCTTCATTAGCTGCTCCAACAGCAAGATACAACTCCTCCTAACAACACACTCGTCAAACTCCACATCTCCCCTCTTCAAATGCGGAGGGTAAAACCCTTCCATTGCATCCAGAACAAGACTCGCCGGGTCGGAACATTGTCTCAGCGCTGCGGACACTTCGTGTCTTAATTTTTCACCTTCTGTCCAGCGCTCGTTAAGGAAAATTTGCAAGTCCCTCCCGTCCACTATCGCGTGCCTTTGGATATTCGGAACCTGGCCATCATTCTTCAAGCAAGTATCTGGTGATTTGGCCAGTACTTTCGTATGAATTTCATCGCTCGATTTGTTTATCGCAGGGCTAACATTATTACTGTTCTGTTCCTCACATTTCTTGCTTCTCAAGTCAAGTTCTTTAGACAATTCTTTTACCCTCTTATCCTTCAATTCGACCTCCCTCAGTCTCACTTCAAGCTCTCTCTTCTGTATCTCAAGCTCGTTAGACCACTCCTGCAACCTCTTCTCCTTCAACCCGGCTTGCCTGACTCGCTCATGGCATTCCTTCTCAATCAATTCTAGGTCCTTGATTCTACCCTCAAATTCCTCACTTTTCACCTGTACCTCGATGATTTTCCCCTCCAATTTACTCCTGCTAGCCTCGAATGCCTCCCACCTCTCCCTCAATTTCTCATTCCTAACCTCGATTTCCTTCTCTCTCTTCCCAACCTCCCTCATCCTCTCGTCAATCATCTCGCCCAACGACCTACTCACCTCCTCGACCCGCTTCTCCATCGCCTCGATCTCCCGAAGCCTCTCCTCGATCGCCCTCCTCGCATCCTCCAGCTCCGCCGCGCTCCTCTCGACCTCCTTGCACTTGCCCTCGATCTCCGCCCTCCGCCTCTCCACAACCTCGCCCTCCCTCCTCTCGATCTCCTCGAGCCTCGCCCCGAACGCCCTGAGGCTCGCCGTGATGGACTCCTCCACCGAGCGCACCTCCTCCCCGCGCCGCTCGAGCGCCGTCTGCGTGGCCTCGTAGTGGTCCTCGAGGTCCTTCCACTGGAGCGACAGCAGCAGGAGCGACGAGGACCGCTCCTGGAGCTGCTGCAGCTTGTCGCGGAGGCCGCTCTTCTTCACCTCCGCGAGGTTCAAGTCCGTCGAGCGCGGCTTGTCGGCCATGGCTTTTCCTGGCCACCGCTGAACGAAGCGCGAGCGAAAACCCTAAGACGACGAAGGCGAAGACGACGACGACCAGATCCTCTCGTGTGTTGGAAGAGAGTGAAAGAGAAGGCGGTTTCTCTTCTTCTTCTTCTTCTTCTTCGTGCATGAGATGAACGAGATTGGAACTGCGTGCGTATTTATAGGCGTAACGGACCGATTCGGGAATTCTTTTTGAAATATAGTAAAATAATAATTAAAAAGAGGAGAGAAAAATAAGGAAAAACCAAACGGAGAAATTGGAATCCGAGAGAGATTTTACTTTCCCTAATTGGGGTTCGGATTCCAAATTAATTTGGTAATTTCGTGCTCCAACAAGTAGCGAAAAGCCGAAATTTTCCAATCAGATGTGGTGTATAGGACCGATTACAATGCGATGTTGCGCCTACTAGGCATAACTAAAGTCGATATCGCACCTGTACAACCGTTGTTGTAACGGATATAGCTAAGCCTCAAGGAATTGCGGCGCCTCGTGCGCTGTTCCGATTGGACGTGATCTACTTATTTCAAGTCGAGAGAAAGTAAATTTTTCGAATTCTTTAGTAGCGTCATTAATGGTTTACTTAGCTTGATATGTTAAGTTGCATTAAAAACGCGATGTTGCGCCTACTAGATACGATCAAAGCCGATATCGCACCTGTACAAGGGGATGTGCACGGTTGTCGTACCGGATATAACAAAGCCTCGAGGAATTGCGGCGCCATCGTGTGCGGTTCCGGTTAGACGTGATCTATTTATTTCAAGTCGAGAGAAAAGTAATTTTTCGAATTCTTTAGTAACGTCGTCATTAATGGTTTACTTAGCTTAATATGTTAATTCGTATTAAACGAACAAGAAATTCAATACGTTGCACGAAATTGCGTGATTTTACGCCCCGCAAATTTAGAAGGGTGTTTATTTATTATCAGAGTAGATTATCAAAAATCATGGAATTATGTTAAGCACTCGACCGGAAAAATTAAAAGAGAAGCTGAAATAAATTTGTTAATAAGCCATTCTGCAATAATTATCAAATATTAACTTAGAACTTTTCACGAGTATAAAATAATAATAAAATTATGAAATAAAATTATTGAGGATATCTTGTGCACGTCAATGTTGGTATAAACTCCATTTCGTGCACATTAATGTTGATATAAACTCGGCAATTCGGCAGGAAAAATTAACGGAAATTAATAGAGGGTAAATTTGTCACAGGTGTATTAATTTAGGATTTTTCACGGTATTAACTCTTTCGAAAATTGCCTATCTTTACACTTGTAACATGTCCATTCAACAATAAATGAAAAAAATAATTTCTCTCCTCTACTACTTCCACATCCAAAGTTGCATAAATTCCCTCACGTACGATTTCAATGAATTTTTCCTCCCAAGAATAATTTTAGATGTTATTAGTATGCGTATCTTAAGATCCTACTAACGTAAAAGAATTATATAAAAGTAATCACGCACTGCACGCGTGCTTAGAACCTAGTCCTATAAAGTTAGAACTTTTAAATTCAATCTAACATTCAGGAGAAAGTACAAAAAAAGTCCTAAACCTATTACATTGGTACCAATTCAATCTTAAACCTTTCAATTTAATCAATTTAGTCCTAAAACATTTCACATTTGTACTAATTCAGTCCATCCAACCAATTTAAGCTGGAATTCACTGACGTGGACGTCAGCCGTTCTACATGGCACGACCGACGCTGACGTTAACAAATTTTAATAATTTTTAAAATTTTGAATCTTTTTTCTTTTTTTCCCTTCCTTCTTTTTCGTTGGACCTATGGCCAGTGGCCATGGCCAACAACTGGTCATAGACGAGGGCCGGTGAGGTTGTCGCGGCCCTCACTGGCCACATGGGAGGGTCGCCATCGCTGGCAAGGGCGAGGGCTGGACCCTCGCGACTTGGGTGAGGGTCACCCTTGCCTAATCCGTCGAGGGCGGCCCTCCCCCAGGCCGCGAGGGCGGGCCTCGCCATCGAGGGTGAGGGCTAGACCCTTGAGGCCTAGGTGAGGGCGGCCCTCGCCGGATCTAGCAGGGGTGACCCTCCTCCAGGCGGCGAGGGTCCAACCCTCACCAAATCCAGTGAGGGGCACCCTCGCCTAAGCTGTGAGGTTCCAGCTCTCGCCCTCACTAGCCCTCGCCTGTGGCCGAACGCTGGCCATGGCCACCGGCTACAGGTCCAAGGAAGAAGAAGGAAGCGAAAAAATGGAAAAAAAAACATTAAAAATTATGAAAAAATTCAAAAAATTATTAAAATTTGTCCACATCAGCGTCGGCCGTGCCACGTAGGAAGGATGGCGTCCACGTCAACGAATTTCGACATAAATTGATTGGATGGACTGAATTGGTATCAATGTGAAAATGTTTATGATTAAATTGGTACAATTGAAAGGTTTAGAACTGAATTGATACCAATGTAATATGCTTAGGACTTTTGTGGTACTTTTTCCAGCATTCAGAGAGATGGGGAGGGAACAGGTTCTTGCTGGCCAGTAGCTCGCCACCAACATTGGTGAAGACGGAGAGAGAGGAAAGAAAAAGCTGTTGATCCGATTTTCAATCAGCTGACCACCAACTGTAAAACCAAAATCTTTCCGGATTCCTTCACGAGAAATACGCGGGTGCGCGTAGCTCGCGTTGGTTCTGGTCTTCATGAAAACACGGAAATTACGAGATTTACAAGTGACATCAGAAAACTCGAAACTCGTGGTCGGTTTGCATGATATTAACGAGGATCGACGTGCCTAGGTTGGTGGAGACATTTTGCATGCATGGGGTTTCGGTACGTACCATTTACTAGCTTCGCTATCTCTAATTCATCAAGTGGTGACGTCGATTCTTGTCCCACGAGGCCCCCCCCGCCACGCGCGCGTCTCACTAGGGATTCTTTCTGTCCTGAATAATTCCTCAATGATACTATAAGAAAAGCCACAGCGTTGACAGGAACATCAAGCAGTTCACTTTCACTGCTCAATCATCGGGAGGCATCATTGGATCACTTGGTACGTAACAGGAATTTTAAGGATTTACAAGAAGAAATTTCGTATAACTCGGGAGACGATTCCCGGTTTGGAACGGACTCTAATTTATAAAGGTGTCGGATTCATCCCAAACTGGTTCAATATCAGAACAGCACCATGTGCCTTTTTTTTATTTATTTATAAAACACGACTTACATCCATCGCCATTGATTTGGACTGTTGGCCAATTTTTTTACAAACTAAGAAAAATTTCATTTCTCCGCCCGTATCGGTGACCAGTTATCAAAGTACCTCCTCAACCCTGGTTCTTTCCCCTTAAAATCCCCCAAGTACTTGACAAAGATGATAATGCAAAATCACTGGCTTCCTGAAAACCCATCTTTAACGCAAGAAGATGAAAGAAGAACCGAGTTCTGCCCCTATATACCTTGATCTATTACCCACCTGAAGATCAAACTATAATCCACAAAACACAAGAAGAATAAACGCTAAAAGCAAAAGCGGGCAATGCGGAATGAGACCACGAAGAGATTGATCAAGAAAAAGAAGCCGAAGCGCCGAGCCCGGCTACTCTTGAATTTCCCCAAGCTGCCTTTCTGGAGGCTCCCGAGATCGGCATAACCGCTTCCGTGGTCGTCGTCCACCACCATCATCCTCATCTTGAGCTCTCTCAACGTCATCATGACAATTTGTAGGACTTCCAGTGCACTTATCCCATCTCGAGCTGATTTTATATCAGAATACAAAAAAATGTGGCAGACTTTAATGGGATATATAAATAAGAAAAATTTTAAGTACGGAGCAGGGGCGCCCTTTTTTTTCTTGGTTATTTTCTTTACACAACCTACATCCATTACTATTGACTTGGGTAGTCGGTCAATTAATTTTTCAAATTGGGGAAAATTTCCTTTATTTGCTTGTATCGTTAGTCAACTTATCCCATTCCGAACTGATTATATATCAGAATATAAAGATATGCGGTAGGCTTTGATGGGATATATAAATAGGAAAATTTTTAAGTACGGAGACGTGCACTCTTTTTTTCTTTGTTATTTTTTTACGCAACCTCCATCCATCACTATTAATTTGGGTAGTTGGTCAATTTTCCAAATTGGCGAAATTTCATTTATTTGATTGTATCTTTAGTCAACTTATCCCATCCCAAACTGATTCTACATCAGAATACAAAGAAATGGTGCAGCCTTTGATGTGATATTTAAATAGGAAAAATTTTGAGTACGAAGCCATGCACTATTTTTTTTTTACACAATCTACATCCATCACTATTAATTTGGGTAATTAATCATTTTTTCAAATTGGGGAAAATTTCATTTATTCTCCTGTATCGTTAGCCAATTCTCAATGTACCCCTCGACCTCATTTTCTCGGCGAAAGTGTCAAAAAAGTCCTAAACCTTTTGCATTTGTGCCAATTTAGTCCTCAACCTTTTTTGGTGCCAATTCATTTCTAAACTTTTTGCATTTGTGCCAATTCGGTCATAAACCTTTTTTTGGTGCCAATTCAATCATAAACCTTTTGCATTTGTGCCAATTCAGTCCTAAACCTTTTGCATTTGTGCCAATTGAGTCCTAAACCTTTTTTTGGTGCCACTTGAGTCCTAAACCTTTTGCATTGGGGCCAATTCAGTCCTAAACTTTTTGCTTTTGTGCCAATTCAGTCCTAAACCTCTTTAAGCTAAATTAACCGGAAGAACTGAATTGGCACAAATATAAAATGTTTAGGACTAAATTGATATCAATGCAAAAGGTTTAGGACTGAATTGGCACAAAAAAAGGTTTAGGACTGAATTGGCACCAATGCAAACGGTTTAGGACTGAATTGGCATTAAAAAAAGGTTTATGACTCAATTGGCACTAATGCAAAAGGTTTAGGACTAAATTGGCACAGAAAAAAGATTTAGGACTAAATTGGCACCAACGCAAAAGGTTTAGGACTTTTTTGACACTTTCCCTCATTTTCTCCCTCCAAAACCCCCCAGTACTTGACAAGAAACCGTGTCAACGTGGCCCTTTTTGAATAATCGAAGGTTCTTACCTTTTACCCTACAAATGAAGAAAATGTTAGTGCAAAATAACCTTCCTTCCTAATTCCCACAAAGCGAAAAACCCATCTTAACATAAGAAGATAAAAAGAAGAACAAGTTCTGCCCCTACCCATGATCCATACCCACATCAAGATCAAGCATTACTCCACAAGCAAAAGAAAAATGAAACTGTGAGATTTTGGTGGGACTACTGCCAACTATTCTCAAAGCTTAAGTTTCGGAGGTAAATGGGGCCCGGAAAGATTTGAAATCGGGATCTCTAGCTGTGATACCATGTGAGATTTTGGTGAGATTATTGTCAACTGTTCTTAAAAGGCGTGGTTTAGTATATAATTATTCTAACAGAAACAATCACAGCAAAGAAGGGCAATACGGTAAGAGTTTGCTCTTCAGAAATCAAGCTCGCCAATACTATGCTTGATTCCTGAAGTATATTGATAAGCATTTTTGCTATTGTCCAGTTACCTTGACTAGTACGTAAAAGCATTTGCTAACAGGACCCACAATCACATAAAAGTGACCGCATCGACAAGATTCTTCCGCTACATCATCGATCAAGAGTGCCGAGTTGCTAACTTCAAGAGATGTAAAAATTGGTCCATATCAGGGCTGAATCTCCTCCCCAACAAAAATTCTTAAATCTAAGGAAAGAAGTAGGGCCCTATGTATAGCTACTGGATGGTAATAACCACTTCGACTCACATGTTTGTCAATGGTCGACAAGAAGGGCAGTTACTCAGAGAGTCGGATACGGTATACCTTGGAGGGTAGTGTGTGATGAGCGAGCATTAGAAGTGGCTCCGGCGAGAGGATTCGGTCCAACTCTTGCCAATGCAACTGTTTGTGGATGCTCGTCTCTTTGCTGTGGTGGGCTTGAAGTTTCTGATGCTGGGTTGACAGCAGCCTCAGTGGTGATAGGAGAAGTAGTTTTGGCAGAGACAGGGATAGAGGATGGAATAGGAGCAGCTACTATCGCAGGGCTGAGTAATTTGCCATCCGATTCTCCCATTTTGATGCCGCCAATGTCTGCAGCTGCTCTCGTTGGCTCCCCATTTTTTTCTCCATAGAAGTAATGGTTTGCTAGATTTTTTCAGATGGCAAGTGTTGACTTGATATTGTGATCTGTGATGCATAGAACTCCAGCTTGCAGATCAGCTAATCTTCTTTCCATGGCCTGAATCTGTTTGCAAGATGTCATGAACACAAAGATTGTAATTGGCCATTAGATGCGAACTTAGGAATATGGCCTACCAACAGAGCAATCTATACCTGACCTTCAGGAGAGTCATGTCTATTTTGGAGAATCGCTTCAGCAGCAATTATGGAGATTCTCATGTAATCTTCCAAGAGGGGCTCCGGTGGAAACTCATCTTCCATCTTGAAAGCATAAATAAAACTTACAGCCAGAGTATGTTTCTTATCTTTCACAAAAGTATGTGGCTTGCCGACTCAAATTAGGAAACCTATTCAAATTAAGAAGTCAACTCCAGCTTGAAAAATATTTCGACAATTTCTGCTTGTCTGGACGTCAAACCACAAGTCTTATTCAGGTTTCGGATTTCTACTTGAACCGGATTTCTTTCACGGACTCAAACTCAAGACATGTTTGAACAATATATATATTAGATGTACTTCAGTTACATCTACTGTTCAAAGCATTCGGCACAATTCTATCAATGTTCATTGACAGCTTCCTAGGAAAATCTGCATACAAAAAGCATCAACTTGCTTGCCAAGCATGGGATAACACATGTTACGAAACCTATCTATACATTCCCCTGGGAAAGCAAGACCTATCTTCTAAACATCCTGGGAGTCATCAACACCAAATTTCCCCTGGACAATATAAGAGATTTGTCTGGCAATGCCAGGTGCATGAGTCGGCCAAGCAAATAGCTCCGGCCTACTTTCAGCAAAGAATACGTTAGTCCAAAAGAGGATTACGGGGGACCTCCCTGATTGTCCATCTTGTATTTACACTTACGTGCACAGGGTTGGGATTGCACATTGATTGCTGGGTCACTGGCCGAACGTTTCTTCTCTCCGGTCGGTTGCTGATGGACTCTGGAGAGAGAGGCAGGTATGCTAGCTGGCGCTGAAATAAGTTGATTAAAAACCAGACAAGGTTCAGGGGATTATAAATGTAAAACAAGGCCTATTACACCCAGGCCATCAAGAAACATTAGGCATCACCCAGCACACATATGAATGTGCCAAAATAGTATTGTCTCTGTACTTTAAAGATGATTTCTACAGGCTCAATGATCTCAAATCACAGTGCTTAAGAGAGCAACCCGCCTTGAAAAAGAGAACGATCTACTATATATAACATCAGAACATGCTAAAGAGCATACAGCAAGACTTAAAGTGAAGATTGGGTCCTATCAATGGGGTTTGAAATCCTATGCTCCCATCCAATGCAACAATAGCACCACAACGGAAAGCAGTAAAATTGCTGTTTGGCTATCTGAAATAGAATGTCCCACTCCCTAGATGATTTAATTAACATCTTATATTGCCATGTACAAGCAAAAAGTAAAAAGTTACAATTTTGTTTTGGTTGAAAAAAGGGAAAAGTTACAATTTAGAGAGTCAAAGTCAGAGACAGAAAAACAGATACTTAAGAAAATTTACCTGTAATCTCATTGACAAGACGACCAAGGGTCTGGCCCAACAGAGGAGCATCATTGAATAAAGAAAGCAAATTGTATGCAGCCAAGAAATTCTGAAATGCCAAAACCTCCAAACCGCTCTCGGGTTTATCAGACAGTTTCGCTTTCCATTCTCTCGCCAGCTGCATTGCTCCTTCTTTAACCTTATGTGTTATTGAAGGTGAAATTCTCTCGAGCTGCTGTAACAGAACAATATGACTCCTCATAACGTCTGTCTGCGAATTCATATCCTTACTGTTCGAGTATTGAGTATGAGCCCACGCAATAACATCCAGAACAAGTTTTGCAGGGTCAGATGAGTTTTGCAGCGTGTGTGAGATTTCTTTACATATCATAGAATTCTCATTCAGAAGCTCAGTTTGGAAAAGCTGCAAATCATTTCTAGCTAAGATAGTTGGCGGTGGTGGATATTCAACAGAAGAGTCATCTGCATTGTGCACAGCAAAATTTTCTGCTTCCTCGGTCTTTATTTGCCGCTGTTGAATAGATCCCAAAGAACCTACCAAACACAAGTTAACAGTTAAGATTCCGAACTGCCTTTATCAAGATGACAGCACCAAACGTGGTTTGCCATGAAGACTTTGGAATGACCACGAAAAAAAAATGTAAAGACTAAGGAAAGTCCAACTTTGAAAGAGAGGATAAGTTGATCTCAAGTCTCAAGTGCTCGACAAGCATCATCAAAGCAAGCCAAAAAGTTTCAGCTTGCCAGTTTACCATCTTTGCAGAAATTTTTTTGAACTCCAACTATGGAGGTTAACCTACAGGATGGAACTTTCGAAAAAAAGCAATATATGTATGTGTGTGTGTGTGTGTGTGTGTGTGTGTGTGTGTGTGTGTGTGTGTGTGATGCCACAGTAACATGAACCTGAGCATTTTGTCTGAACCCATATAAATGGATTTGGCATTTCAATCTAATAAAAGATAGAAAAGAAGGGGTTGAAGAGATCCATTTGGTCGACTTCGGAATACATTCCAAAGGCAAGCTTACTTTGATCAAATTAGACATGAGTTAAAACAGTTCACCTAGCAAGTTGTCAGATATATAATTGTTTGTGCTCTTTAGTCCAAAGGGTTTATGATTTTAACGGTGAAATCTAACTTTAAAATTTAAAAGGAAATTTTATTAAATCTACATATCGGACATTTAAAATTCATTAAATATAACATAAACAAGTGTCTAGTAAATGATATGAAATTTGAGTATAAAGTTGAATCTAAAGTAGGAAGTAGTCATTGGCATCCCCAAGATTTTTCATTGGATCAAATTGAAAATCGGTGCTGTATATGCAATGTATATAAGGAAAAAACATGGGATTACCTCATCTCTCACTAGTCAACATAGTGAGCCATCACCATGTTTCACAACTTTGTTTGCATAAAGAGACAAAAATTTAAGCGGCATGAATAATATTACAAAAACCAAGCATAATATGACAAACAAATTGGCAACCAGATTCAACATTTCAAGTCAATAGGTGCATCTCCACTCACCAGGCAGCACTACTGAAGAACCAAGGATCTGGTGCAATTCTTGTGCAATTTGAAACTGTGACACAGAATTGCAAAAAACTTGAATTTCATTTGTATCGAAAGCAGAAGCTAACTTATATGCCACTAAAAGTTTCAAAAAGCCCTTGACCTCCAAAGGATGCTCCGTTGGTGGTGAAAATTTCAGCTTCCCTTTCCATTCAACAGCTAGTTCCATTGCAGCTTCCCTCTCCTGAGGCTTAATCTCTGCTGAAGATAGTATTAAATTATCCAAGAGGAAAATACAACTCCTCCTAATCACCCCAATATCTAGTAACCCATCTCCATTCCCTGAATTCGTGGGGTAAAATCCTTCCATGGCGTTTAACACCAACTTTGCAGCATCATCAGATGTTTGAATAATTTCCAGCACCTTGTGGCACAATCTATCGTGCTCTTGAAAATGTCGATATAGGAACATCCACATATTCTTTCCATCAAAAGCAATTGTGGGTTGAAAATTTTGACATGAAGCTAGGACAGGTTCATTTATTAATGGGTCTTTCCAATTTTGAGCCGCTACCCCAGAATTGACACTAGCCCTCTCTCTCAACTCCATTTCCCTAGAGCGCTTCTCGAGTGACTTTTCAATCAAATCAAGCCGATGCTGTCCCAATTCTAGCTCCATGCATTGCACATTACATTCTTTCTGTTTCATTTCAAGTATTCGAGAGCGTTCTTCAATTGACATGTGAAGCATATGAAGTTGCTTTTCTTTAAGTTCAACATCTGTGAAGCATTCTCTTCTTCTCCTCTGAATGACATCCAACTGCCTTTTCCTAGATTCGAGCTCGTGAGAATATTCTGTGATGGAATCCTGCATCAAATCACATTGCTTCTTTTTGGACTTAAGGACCCTGGTGCATTCGAGAGTTGAGCTTTGAAGGAAAGCATACTCTTTGTCCTTCAGTCGGAGTTGCTCTGCACATTTCGTAATGTCAATATGGATGGACCCCAACTGCTTCTTTTTTAATGCAAGTTCAAGAATGCTCTCTTTGATAGATGCTTGGATAGCATTGGATTCCCTAGTTTTCAACTCAAGAGATTTGGCAACCTCTTGTAATTTTGCGAGGACTGAAGTAAGATCTTTCTTCTTTGACTCGGTTTCCCCATTACACTGCTTGACCCGCTTCATCATATTTTCCAGTTCACCTTCCTTGAATTTAAGCTCTTTGGAAAGCTTTCCAATAGATGTTTCAATGGACCCCAATTCGCTATCTTTCGAAGCAAGTGCCGCCAATCGCTCATTGATCAACCTATTGATTTCTTCAAACTCCTCCTTTTTGAATTTGAGCTCCTCTTTGTGCCCCTCAATCAATGAATTGATGGAATAGAGTTGAATTTCTTTAAAATCAAGCTCCTGGGAATGCTCTTCGATGGATTTACGGATTCCCGTGAGTTTCTCCTCCTTCACTTTGTGTTCAACTCGACAGTCATTTATCTTGTCTTCGAGAGATTGCAACTCTCCGGCTTTTACCGTGACCTCCTTATCGCGCTCTTCGATCGTGCGCTCCAAAGCGCTAAGCCTCTTCTCACTCTCGTCGCGCGCCTTGACACTGTGGTCAAGGAAACTCTGCACCATAGTCAATTCCTCCCTTGTCGATTTAACTGTCCTAGAGCACTCATCAAGCGAACGCTTCACCGAACCCAACTCCTTAAGTTTCCCATCGAGTTCCCAGGCACTTTCCTTTAGCAAACTCTGCACCACCCCGACTTTCTTCTCCTTTGAATCCAATTCCTGTCGCAGCACCTCCACCTCCTCCTCCTTCGAATCATATTCCCTGCGACATTCTTCAGTCGACTGCCTCAGAGAGCTCAGCTCCTTCTTCTTGTCCCTGATCAGCGAGATACACTCGCTAAGGGCGTCCCTCGTCACAACCAGTTGACTCTTCTCCTTCCTCTGTTCATCCCTGCATCTCTCGAGCCGCTCCTCCACCGACCTCAGGTCCACCTTCTTCCTCCGGACCTCCTCCTCGCACTCCTGGACCCTCCGCCACACCGACCGCAGCCCCTCCTCCCGCGACACGACGTCGTGGGCTCGCCCTGCAAGCGACCTCTCGCCTTCCTGGAGCTCCTCGGAGCGGCGCTCGAGCGACCTCCGGATGCCGTCCAAGTGCTCCTCCAGGTCCTTCCAGGGGAGCGTGAACGAGATGAACGAGGACAGCTGCGACTGCAGTTGCTCGTACGCCTTGGAAAGGTCCTCCTTCTTCAGCTCCGCCTGCTTCAGCTCGCCGGAGATTTTCTCCATCGAAGCGGCGCCGGCACCGGAAAACAACACACACACCCGAAAGGAAGAAAACCCACCTACAGACTAACAGATGACGGAGGATGGAGGACGAACCTGGCGATGGGGGCGAGAGCTAAGCCGGTCACTGAGGCAATGCAGTTTTCTGATGAACAGAGAGCGGTTTTTTCTCTTTGGTGGCGAAGAAAGAGAAATGGAGGGAATACGCGAGAGGGGCTGAGTCGGTTGATTTGAGCGAGCCGAGTCAACCGAGTAGCGAGACTTCGGCCAAAGGAGGTTTTCGCCAGGATCTGATCGGCGTCTCTAGGCCCACGAGTCCGCTTGCGCGACGGTGGAGCCTTGCCTAGGCCCGGGTGACCCCCGACGAGGAAACTGGGCCACCAAGACGGCGGACACAAGATGCCGGTCTGAGGGCTCGGGCGAGCTTAGCTGCGTCGACAGTGGATCGATGACCCCCGGCGTACCATCGCCTCGGGGTTGGGCGACCTCAGCGCCGGGTTGCTTGGGTTCTCGAGGCTGGCATTGACGCTAGGGCCACATGCGAGCTAGATCTCGCTTGCGTTACGTCATTTGGATCTCGACACCTACATCAGCACGAGGCCCACCGGTGAGCTAGATATCGCCCGCGTCATGTTGCCTGGTTGTGCGACATTGGCATCACATTGCTTGGGATCCCGCGACCTCGGCGGCTCACAAAAGGGTCGCGTGGTGTCGGGACTAATGCTATTATTGTGCCGCCCGCTTGAGCTTTCATATTCAAATACAAGTTACTCATTTTTCTTCTTCTTTTTTATTATTTTAAAAATTGCTTTGCAATAAAGTAATTTGCAGGGTGTTTACCAAACACTATTTTCTTTTTTTGAGAATTCCTTGAGTCAATTTCATTTGCTTAAATGCAAAGTCTTAAAGTTAAGCGCAGTCAAATTTACCCATAATAGAATATGACAACATTGTATTGAAAATGATGTGTTCCTGAAATAAGGTCGTATGTTTCTTTATTTTTTATTGAACCAAACTTCATTTAACCATTAGGATGGTCGGTCGGTCGGTCGGAGGGATTAGGGGTTTTCCTTGTTTATCTTCTATTCATTTTTATAAGTAATGGAGAAATATACTCAATAGCTTCGAAAATTCTTATTTGAGTCTAAACTTGGTATACCATGACTAGGATAATTGTAAATTATTGGTGATGAGACTCCGGTGGACTTGCGAGAAATTCACAAGTATAATTTAATGAAGTTTAAGAGTTGCGTATCCAATTTGGTACGTCGGTTTTGTATTGATTTATAAATATAAAAAAAAAATTGTTCAAATGATAAGGGGAGAGTCCACCGTATCTTGTGGGCATCATGCCGTTGCATCTTACAATTGTCTGATCACCAACATTTTGTGGCGCACGTAATTTGATCTTCTTCAAATCTTAAACAGCGGAAACTTTCAAAATATGAATGTTGACGCGTAGATTCATATATAATTTCTTTTACCATATTTTAAATTTTGATTAATTGTTTTAATTTTGGTAAGTAAAGCGCAAAAAATACTAAAACTAAAATTTACAGGTTGTCCATCTTGCATGCGAGGAAGCAGCCTCTTTTGGGTTACAGGAAAGCAACCCCTGTTGCTGACTCCTACCATGCAAGGTCAGCTTCAGGCCTCCGTTTCTGGAAAACTGATCTCTTTCTCTCTTCTGGGCCAATGAAAACGACAGGCATTTACACTTCTGCAGATCACATGTGATCTTTCACCTGGAATAGGAAGGAGAGGATGGTGCGCTGATCTCTTTGTCGGCACTTCTTTACAGACCTTCTCATATGGTGCCGATGAACTCTGATGTAGTTGTTCTAATTCAAGGTTGTCATTTTCAAGATGGAGAATATATTCCCTTCCTCTTGCGTAAAATTATGGGATGGTCCAACCCTAGCCAAGCTTCGAAGAGTGCGTACTTGCATCGGGCCCATGCGATAATGGATCGATCATGTAGGGTTCTTGTGAGATCCATGGGTAGCAATAGCGGTTTGGATTTAGATAGACGTTTTCATCGAATTCTAATGTTATAAACAGACTTGGGAATAGATTCCTTTACTTACTTTTGTTTTTCACGTCAATTCATCGCGCGTCAAACCATGATGCACGGCCCGATCATTTTGGTAATAAATTGCTTGATAAAGTGTGTTCATGGCATTACAGATGGGGTCAAGTTCTTGAAGGACTTGAACACTAAGCTCAGGTTTGGAAATTAAGGCTAGCAAATTTGGTACAAGCCAGAAGTACATAAGAATAACTTGGTCTAAGTGAGAATCTGACTCGTTAATGTTACATGTATCTTGAGATGTTAAGAAGGGTTTGGCTGGCATGAACTCTCTCTGACTATGCTTTAAATTCCTTGTATGAGGATTGAAATAATGAGGTGATGTGTACAGGTAAAGATCACTCATGAAGACTGGGACTTTAAAGTCTTTGACACACATGAAATCGAGGTAACTCATTACAGACGATATCTAGATCAAGGACGCGTCTATACCTCCTTGTAAGGATTCGATAATAACTTGCTACAGATGATATCATGAATTAGTGATGCATTAGTCTTATTGGATTCAATTTTAGCTCGAAGTTAGGGGGAAGAAGAATGCTGGAATATCCTACTGTTTTATTGCCTATCATGAAGGATATAGGTTTTTAAGAGAAAGCCTCTTGATTAGTGTGTTGTCGCTTCTCGAAATTAGACCGATAATCAAACCGGTCGCGACGAGCTGGTTCATTTGGGCTAGGGCAGAATGCCTAATCGTGATACGAAACCCGAAGAGAGAAACTTCCTCGAGGGAATTTAGCGCTAACAAAAAGCATTGAGAGAGAGACTCCGGTAAGAGTGATCGGCGGAGAGGTGAACGACACTATCGTAAACGGCGGGTTGTATGTGTTAGGCCATTGTCGGAAGAAATTTGAGCTGAAGGGTACGAAGGTGTTTTAATTCCTGACGAAGAGACTCGAGCCAAATTGAGGTGAAGAAGAAGAAGAAGAAGAAGAAGAATAGGTATTTTAGCCATCATAATAGACATGAGACATAGATATTGAACTTGCAATCAGCAGTTTAGACAACATAATAGATGTGTCTGAGCAGATTGATTTGATGCTTTTGGTATGCCGATGTATGGTTTCTCTTCTTTTCCCGTGTAATGGATGATTGTATAGGTCTCGGAGTACCAGAGTTCCACGACGATGCTCCAAAATGACTTCATAACTTCTCCGCATCTTTCACGCGTTTGATCTTCAGGTGAACATGATTTGCAATTGGATCAGAAAAACTGAGGAGCCCGGGTGGGGTGGGTTGTGGGTGGAAGAGCGAAAAATCCAAAAATTCATGAAATTACTCAAAACAACATTGTTCTTTTAGTAAATTTGTCCCTATCAGACGCCGGCCGGTCGTGCCACATAGGACGATCAGTAATAATTGAACCTCCATGTCAGTAAAGTCAAAATATGCAAGAAGGATTACATTAGAATTCCATATAGAAGTTTAGAACTATATTGACATAATCGAAATGTTTGTCACTAAATTGGCATATGTACAATAGATTTAGGACTAGTTTGATAATTTTCCCTATAAATCTTCTATGGCCCCATGGGGATTGACATGGGGGTCCGGTGCCATCTCCCGATACTATAAATATTGTCGTATGTAAACCAAAACATCCTCCAACGCAGAGTAACATTTAGGGCCGCATCAAATATATCGGGGATAAAGCCTTACCTAATGCGCGTAGACAACAACGTACTAAACGAGCCAAAAAGTTCCAAAACCTATGTCATTAGTAGATAAAGAAAACTTTGGTTTTCCGCTGATTTATCTCGTGCTCCATATGCCATTATGATAATACATCAAAGTACCAACATCCCCCCAGAGTTTACAATCTTGAGACTTCCCATAAAGTACTCGAGACTCGGAATAAATCTGTGACGTAGTAAGATGATGTAGATGTATCTGAGCTCGAGCTGCTTCATCGAGTCTATTATTCTTTCTATGTAAATTGCGGGCGCCCTTTAGCCTAATTCCAAAAATTGAGGTAACATAAGCATGGTTTGATTACCAATTAGCCGATCGACATATATATTTCACTGAGGGATAGCTAGGTAGAAAGAGTACAGAATCAGTATGCCGCTCCATTAAGGAAGCGAACAAACAGAAATCCATCCTAATATCATGGATATCATTCGCATGTTATCTCCTCGTCTTCCTATTTATAAGCTACGGCTCACTTCGAAACACGAGCTTAATTTGGAGAGTGGTGGGCGCAGTGTGATGAAAACTTGATGCGAGTCGAATTAACTTAGGCTTCATTTGTTTCGCGGAAGATGAATATGATTTGGAAATTATTTTTCTAGAAAAATGATCGCTTATGTAGCTTGAAATAATTAGCCAATAAAATATGTTTTCATGTTAAACATTTTAGTGGATGATGAAACTTTTTTTCGTTCATTCATTTTTATAAGCGATCGTTTTTGTGTAAATATTTTTCAAATAATTCATTTTCTGCGAAACAAACGGAATCTTAGTTTGGTAAATTTGGATTTTCTTTGGACCAAAACAAATTATATTGTACACTATTATCATTGGTTCTGATATAGTGAGTAGTGAATAATTAATGCACATTTTGTGGTAAATGCAAATAATTGTATAATTGATAAGGAGAGTCTATCATCCCTTGTGGACATCATGCCCTTGCATTTTACTATCACGATCGTTGGATCACCAACATTTAACTTGAATCGTTCATCATCGGCCTGTTTGGGGGAACTTTTACTTCGAACTTTTGGGCTTTTTCGAATCTCATGGCACACGTAATTTGACTTGTTTTTCTTGCATTAAACATTTGAAATTTTTACAATATACAAATGTCCATAACGTAAACTCATATATTTCTAAAACATTTTAAAATTAGAATAACATTTTAACTTTTGATGAGGATTGGGAAAAGATAATTAAAATATACAGGTTGTCATCTTGCATGAGAGAAAGCAGCCTTCTTTGAATACACGAAAGCAACCTCTTTTGCTGGCTCCTATTGTGCTTTGGTCAGCTTCAGGCTCCGGTTTTGGAACAAATGATCTCTTTCTTCTGGGCCAATTACAACTACAGGCATTTACACTTCTGCTGAGGACACTGCACTGATCTCTCCATCGGTACTTCTTTACAGACCTTACTATTTGTTTGGTGGGGATGAACTGGTCATGTTGCAGATCAAGAATATATCCCCTTCCTCTTAAACAAAATTATGGGATGATCCGAAACTCCAACCCGGCTTCAAACAGTACTTACTTGCACTGGGGTTTATGTGAGATCCACAGGCTCCAATAGTGCGATTATGGGTCGGATTTAGACAAACTTTTGATTGAATATAAGCACATCTGAAATAGACTCCTTTACTTGCTTTTGTTTTTCAGGACAATCCTGAGGATAGATACTGTAGCGTGGCTTAGACATACACATACTTCACTGAGCTTCAAACCATAGTGCACAGCCCCATCACTTAGTAAATTGCTTGATAAAGTGTGTTTAGATTGAAGTAGGTCATAGCATTAAACATTGTGTCAGGTTCTTCAAGGATTTGAACAATAAGCTCAGGTTTGGAAATCATATAAGATTTGTCTGGCAATGCCCAGTGAATGAGTCAGCCACCGGCCTACTTTCAGCAGAGAATACCTTAGTCCAGAGAGGATTACATGGGACCTCTC